AGAAAAAAAATGGAAACAAAGTCTTTGTAAATAGGGAAGGGTGGAGGGGGTGAAGGGAGGGCAGGGGAATGGGGAAAAAATAAGAACCAAGATATGTCATGTAAAGGTACAAGATCCCAATGATGAATGTGATTGTATTTTATTACCTAAGATGTACCAAAAAACTTAATGGAAAAAAAAATTTTAAAGGGTGTAGATGTAGCTCAGTGCAAAACCCTGGATTCAATCCTCAGTACAGAAAGTAGAGAATGTATTTGGCCTATCTTCCTGTCTTAAATCAATAATGAATTAGGCTGAACACAAAGAATTTCCTTGTGACAGAAAGTTATCATAATATATGTTTTTTCCTGAAAATGAGTACTATTTTTAGCTCTAGAGCTAAAAATAGTATCAAATCTTGAGGGGTGGAAATCTTAGTTATATTTAAGTAATTTATCCTACCATCCTTTAAAAATAGCAGTTTACTACAGCTCAACTATTAAATAATTTACACTAATTTAATTTTGATACTATGGGCTCTGAAAGAACATTTACGTTTTTGTAAAATTTTTGCATTAAAATATTTGTCCTGTTCTAATAATAAATTAACATGGCAGACAAGACCTACCGAAAAATATCCTAAAGATCCCTAGTTAGATCTCAGTTTACCTAATTCATCCAATTATATCTTCTGCTTCAATGAATCTGCCCCATAATTTGCATTTGTAGAATCAAAGAAAATTGTCAGCATCTCAAAAATACAAACTAGAGATTAGTCTTGGGAAAAGGAATATAAACCTTTTTGCTAATCATTCACCCTTCTAGGCACAGGGCACAAAACATGGAGGAGATTTTGAGATCTGTGTTTTTGAAGCAGACACATCACTCTGAAGGTCACCTGATATGCAGAATGTAAAACCATGCCCCTTTAGCCTCCCTTCCCAGTTGTCTCCCTCAGAAGTGCCAAAGAAGAATCAGATCTTCACTCAGGAAAGTCTGCTCCCGCAGCTCTCTGCAGAGGAAACGATCTCAGCTTACCCAGCATCCATCTTGCCTTTGAGCCCCAGGCTGGCGTGGGAGTGCTCCGCCATCTTGGGGAGGCCACTGGTTCCACTGGTAAAGTAGATGGCAGCCGCTTCTTGGCTTCCTGACTCCACACAGTGATGAGTAGTAGAGGCCTCTCTGGAGGAGATACAGACTGTCACCTTAGATCTAGCATGTTCACCAGATGTCACTGTGACTCGTTTTTCTCCACTAGCTCCCAGGCTAACAAGGGCAAGTCAGCTGATTCATTTCAGAAGAGAGGCTACTGACTGAGTGGTTAAGATCACAGGGTTACTTCTGTTATTATTAATTTTAAAAAATTGTATTAGTACATATTTTAAGCAAATAAGATCATGGAATTCTGAGTAAGTAATATTTGGGTTTGGAAACCATTTAGGTTTGGCAATTAGTTAACCATGTCAAGGGTAATCAAAATACGTGATGAATGTTTAACTTTCAAATAAAACCCCTTATTACAGTAAAAAACACATTACCAATAATCTCCTTCTAAGTACTGCCCCTTGCTTCAAGCACACTCATCCCAATATTCTTGTCACTTTCTGAAGCAGTTCTGGAAGTCCTCTTTCATGAGAGTCTTTACAAGACAGGATAAAAAATATGGTGACTGGGGCTGCCAAGTGCCATCCAATGGAAAAGCACGCTTGTGAAAATATTATGGTGTGTCCTCATCCACCTCATCCACCAGATCTGGCACCACGTGACTTCTGTCTTTTTTCCAAAATCAAAATGACATGAAAGGTAAATATTTTAAATTAATTCAGGACATCAAGTTAGCTAACAAGAGCAAGCCAAGGGCAAGGACAGCACCACTAAAGACACTCAGGAAACAGAACATCCAGATCTGCTGTAGCAAGTGTCAATAACAATGGTATGAGTATGTTTGAAATAAGGGGGAGTATTTTGAGGTGGATGAATGGCAATGTGTCTTTTACTGTAATAAAATTTAAAAATGTAAACATTTACAGTATTTTAAAAATCACAGCTCATATGTACTATTGAACTTCTTTGAGACTCAATTTCCTTATCTGTGAAATGAGATCAATAAAACCTGTCTCACAAAGAAATTAAGAAAGTTAACTCTACCACAAACAAAATGAACAGCAGGAACTTAATAAACGTGAAGCTACTTGTTGAGCCCTAGGATGATGCTAGGTCCACAGGAGGTAGGCAACTGGTATTCATGGTGCTTTACCAACACCCTCTTCTGCTCTCTGGAACCCCCTATTCATCTTCAGATGTCTCTAGCATCTTGATTTTAAGTCTCTGAAAGCTGGTATCACATTTTTTTCTTTGACACTTATCTTAAAGGTCATGCATCACAAAGACTTCTTTTCCCCCCAGTACTGGGGATTGAACCCAGGTCTTTCACACTGAGCCACACCTATAGTTCTTTATAAATTTTTTATTTTGAGACAGGATCTCACTAAGTCACTAAGTTACCCAGGCTGGGCTCAAATTTGTAATCCTCCTGCCTCAGCCTCCCAGAACACTGGGATTAAATGCATGCACTGTTCTGCTCAGCTGATCGGGTCAGGCTTGCCATAAGCTTTTGGAAGGGCCATTGTCCTTGGAAGCAAAGCTGTGGGATGGGGTGGAGAGGTAGCAAAAGCACAGAAAGCCCTGTGTCATTCAACTCTGGTTTCCCTTCCCATGCTGTAGACCTTACCTCTGATCTGAGCGTCATCACAGTGAAGAGCTTAGGCTGAGTTTCCATCCCTGGATGTTATCACCTTGCTCTTTCTAGTTACACTGCAATGCTTCTCTTTATACCCCAGGTCTTTCTGTCACTGTGATAGCCAACCCAACTCCATCTTGTGCCTCAATGCCATTTTGTACCTGTTCTTGGACAAAGTGCTTGCACATGAACAAAGCCCCCAAAGCCCCCACATCCTGCTTGGCAGTAAACTTGCTGCAGTTGCAGGATGTTCTGTAGCTCACCTAGTGTGTGTGAAACTTCCTCTTGCCCCCACTAACCTGGCATGGTTCTGCTTCTGTAAGATTCCACTTGCTCCCCCTTGAGCCCTCCTCAAGTGAAAGCATGATTTAAAAAGAGAAATCAAACTGCTTCCCATTGTTGAGGAAACTTTCTGGGTGCTAGCCCCCCTCGGCCACTGGCTATAATAAATGGGCTCAAATCTGGCACAGAATGTGGTGCATCTCTATTGTCCAAACTCACTCGTCCATGACATCACCACCATGGCTTGGGTCTCTGAGCCTGCTCTTCATGTGAGTGTGCAGCCCAGTAGGGGGCAGATAATGCTCCACTAGGGCAGCTTCTAGCCTGCAGGTGTCAGTGACTGCTGTCAGCACTTTGTTGGGAACTCTTGGGAAGTCTTTGACATGTTCCTCAGAAGGTCCCTGCAGACCAAACCCCACAAACCCCTGAAACGTCTCCTTACAGCTTTTCTTTCTTCCTTTCCTCAGTCTGTCTAGTCCCACACTCTGCTCCATGGGCAGCCCCCATCCCAGTACAGTGGCTGCACCAGACCACTCGATTTGATTTCCACTGTGGGAGAAAGCCTAACCAAGACACATAGATACTCACTTCAGTAATGTCTTAAGGTCCAGCCACCCATCCCGGCTTCTCTCAGACACAAGTAGCTTGAGTCTCAGAGCAGGACAGTCAGATGCCACAGCGTCCACTTCATGGGCCACTTCGTCCCCAGCCACAATGGCCCTGGCTTTAGATGCCTGGAGCCTGTAGAGGATGTCTTTGGATTTCATCTGGATAGCTCCAGGCATAAAGACGAGGCCTGGAGAAGCCAAATGGTTTTGAAAGTGCTGGGAAGGAGGCTGGCCTTCCCCCTCAGGAAGTGGCCACCCAAGGTGGAAGGGGGGCTGTGCACTCTTTGGAGGGTGTTCTTTGGGAAGAGGGGGACCCAGCTTGCTGCCCTCCATTTCCTTCCTTCACAAGAGGGGGTGCCCTGCTCTTAGTCAGTCACCAACCTGCTCGCATGCAGCCCAGGGTCACCAGCCACCACTCAGGGACTTGGGGCAGGACTACTGCCACGCGGTCCCCACGCTGCAGACTGCAGGGCCCCAAGAGGACATTGGCCGCCTGCTGACTCATTTCACTCAGTTCTCTGAAGGTCCACTTCACTTCATCCCCTTTGCCATTCACCCACCACAGGGCTGGGCCGGGAGGTCGCTTGCCAGCCTGGGGGTGGAGAGAGGAGAGGCCTGCTGGTGAGTGGATGTGGACACAGTGTGTGTGGGGGGGCTTGGTAAGCACCTTGATCTCAGGACTCCCGCATACCCTTAGAAAGTATGGAGCTGGGTATGGTAGTGGGCCACACCTGTTATTCCAGCTACTCAGGAGGATGCAACAGGAGGATCACAAGATTGAGCCCAACTTAGAAAAAGACCTTGTCTCAAAATAAAACATAAAAAGAGTTGAGATGTAGCTCAGTGTGAGGTTCAATCCGTAGTAGTAAGAAAGTAAAAAAGAATTATTGAAACTCCTCAAGAGGTCTTTATTTATATGGGTTATAGCTATTAATACTTATATCAGAAATTAAAACAGATTTTTAAAAATGTGTGTTTAAAAATAATATTGATATACCCATTATATATTACTATGAATAGAATTTTAAAAATATGCCCCAGAAAGAGTAGCTATCATCAAGAAATTAAATAATAAAAAATGCTAGCAAGGATGTGGAGAAAAGGGACTCTTCTGCATTGTTGGTAGGAAGATAAACTAGTACAATCACTACAGAAATCAGTGTGGAGAGTCCTCAAAAAGCTAAAATTAGAGATTCCAGTTGATCCAGGTATTTTCCTTCTAGATATTTTCCCCCAAAAGTTAATTACATCATATTACAGGAATATATACATACTGATGTTTATAACAGCACAATTTATAAAAGCTAAATCTTGGAAATGGTTCATATACTCATTAACAGATGAATGGGTAAAGAAAATATGGTATTTATACACAGCAGAGCACTACTCTGCCATAAAGAAGGATAAACTTGAGGCATGTGTAGCTAAATGGATGCAAGACTATAATATTAAGTGAATCAAGCCAGACACATAAGCTTAAATATCTCATGATTTCTGTTATATGAGAAACTAAAAAAAAAATATAAATGAAAAGCAAAATACAAGATAGGTAAAGAGAAAGTAGGAAGGTCTTTTTCAAATGGATCGGGGAGCAAGACATGGAGGGAAGAAAGAGGGAGGGGAGGGAAAGGGGATGGAAAAGAAGAAGGGAAGGGAAAAATGATGAAAATGAAGCTTTTGCAAATGGGTAGGGGACCAAGAGTTAGAAAGAGCAGGGAGGGGAGGGAAGGAAGGCATAGGGAACGAAGAAAGAAAAAGAGAGAGAAAAAATGGAGAAGTGATATATCCATGTACCAACTCCCCATGATAATTGTAATTACTATGTACTGCAAACATGTGCTAATGAAAAAGTATGTTACCCAAACAACCAAGGAATTTAATGAGAAAAGTGGCATCATTTTGCATTTCTGCTAGTGTCCTGATGTCTGTCTTACTGGAGGATGGTCGGATTCTCTGACTGACCCCTGCCTTCACTCTATTCTGTCAGTCACTGTTCCTTCTGGGAAATGTCACTGTTTCCTTGTGAGAGAATGAGAGTGAAAAAGGCAGAAATGTTCTTAAGATTGTTTATCTTTATCTTTTTAAAATTTTTGTTTTCTTTTATCTTGTGATAAAATATGCATAACATAAATTTGTCATTTTAACTGTATTTTATCATCATCATCATCATCATCATCATCATCATCATCATTTTTAGTGCTGGGGTTGAACCCAGGGCCACCGGAATGCTAAGCACACACAGTGCTACTGACCTATACCCCCAGCCCTTAAATTTATTTTTTAAACTGATATGTAAATGTATAAAGTTCCATGTGATATTTTGATACAAGAATATACTGTATAATGTTTAACACATCATTTCTTTCTTTCTTTCTTTTTTTTTTTTAGTACCAGGGATCGAACTCAGGACCTTGTACTTTTGAGGCAGGCAGCGGAACCACTGAGCTAAATCCCCAGCTCATTTATCATTTCTCTGTGGTGAAGACATTCAGAATCCTCTCTTTTAGCTTTATGAAATACACACTGCTGGTAAAGTCAAGTGTAGATTGAACGCACTCTCCGAAGATATAGTGAGCATTGGGTTTTAAGCCCAGATCCAATTCTGGGATTATATTCTTCACCACAATGCTAGATGGCTCTACTGAAATTCCTACTAGAATAAAATTAGCTGAAATACAGGCAGGAGCCAAGCGTCACAAACCACAGATGGCATTGTTAAAGAGGCCTTCATCACTAAGAAGCAGGGATTTCGAGAAAGAAATGGCAGCTACTTTGATTATAATAGTGAACAATTTGTCCTACCTCTAGGTCAAAAGTCAGAAACCTGGAAGCTTCTTCTAGATTTAAAACAAGCAAGTTCAAAATGTCACCTATTTTGTAAGCCTTAAATTACAGAGAATGTAGAAGCCATAAATAAAATTATCTGAAACACACACACACACAATACACACACACACACAAAATACACACCGCTGTCATGATCTGTGGTCACTGCACCATGCAACATTACCAGAGCTTCCTTCTCCCATCTGACCGTAACTTAGCATCTACTGGTCAAGCTCTGGTCCTCATTTCTCTATCAGCAAGCTTACAGTTCAGTGTCATTAAGGCCATTCACCTTGTGCAACCATCACTACCATCCATCTTGAGAACTTGTTCATCATCTAAAACTGAAGCTTTGTCCTCATCAGTAATAACTTCTCAGCCCCTCTCTCCTCAAAGTTTTTGTTTGCATTACTCTTACTATGGGTGGGTTGAGCGGTTTTTCTTATGCTTAGTGGCCATTTGTGTTCATTTTGCTGTGGACTGTCTGCTCACGTGCTTGGCCCACACTTACACTGGGTTAAGCTTTTTTATTCTTGGTTTCTAGGAGATCTTTTGTTCTAGGGACATTAACTCTTTTGCTGTCACATGAAATGGATATTTCCCCCCAGTTGTCATTAGTTTTCATTTTGCTTACGGTAATGTTTGTCAATGGAAAGTTGTTTTTTTAAATGTTCATGTAACAAACTCATTATTATCATTTCTTTTATAGATTCAGAATTGTGAGTCATAATAGTAAGGGCCTTCCTCAGAATACCAGCAAGGTATAACTTTTAAATAAAATTCATAAATCTAAATTTTTATTTGAAAATTTTCCATTTTTATGTTTCTCCCCCTGCCCCCCAGCAGTGGGAATCGAACCCAGGACCGTGGTATATCCCTAGCCCTAGCCCTAGCCTTTTTTATTGTTTGTTTTGAGACAATATCTCGCTAAGTTGCCCAGCTTGGCCCTGAGTTTATGATTTTCCTGTCTCAGTACAGGTATTCATCACTGCCCAATGACCTAACTTTTTATTTTTAAGAACACCCCGCCTCTGGGTCCGACTTACAATCTAGAGGCCAGGGGTTTACAATCCCTATACTAAAGTTGTGTCCTGATAGTGGGACCCCAGCACAATGTCACAGTCATGGCTCCCTTCGAGCACCATTGTCTTAAGCCCATGGTAGTAAAGCCACTCCTCCTACTCTAGCCACGAACTCTCTCATCCTCCAGAAATGCACCTGGGACTTCAGTGAAGGTAATGCTGGATCAGATCAAGTGGGCTAGGATCTGAGGGACTCAGGGACAGGAAAGAAACTCAGAAACGTCTGCAGCACTTTCTTCCTGTGATGTCTGATGCCGGAGCCCTGTGGACATCTCAGCCTTGGGGACATCTTACCTGCACACTGATGGTAAAGACACAGGACCTGGCATGAGTGGCTTTTATTAAATCCAAATCCATCTCTGCTATGATCCCATCTCATTAGTCCCTGTTTTATGTGGGGAGGACACAACAGAGCTTGTGCAATGTGTCACCTGTTTGAGAGTCGCCAAATGATCCCACTCTTCACCAGGCTCCCGTGTCTTCCTTAGCCCTTGCTGCCCTATGGAAGGCGAGCCTCTTGCTCATACTCCATTGCAATGTCTGATGGGTAACAACCACTCAATAAGCATGGAATGAATGGACGAGTTAAGGAAGTCAGCCAGGCTGTTTAGCCCTGTCTCCTCTCCACCACATTACCTTCTCCATGCTGGCCCACAGGTCTATTACATGGCTGGCAAAGTTGAACTTGGCAGGCACTTCCTGGTGACCCCACGGCACTGACGTCCGTTGCCTGACACTAACATGGAGAGGGCGGGTGGATATCCCAGGGGCCCTCAAGGTGCAGAGTCGCTCAAGTTTCCACAGCCAACGCATGGTCAGATCTGTGAAGGACAGAGGAGACACAGGAGGGTCGTTTCTTAGTAGATTGCTGTACTCATCACCAGCTGCTTGGGAAGAGTCAAATCCACCGAACTTTTGAGTGAATTCACACTCCACGTCTGTCTCTGTGTCCTTCTGGTATACCAGTCTCCCAATTCACCTCTCCACTACGTCTGACTGCTTTGCAAGCATCTCATTCTGTGTAATAAATCCTTTCATGCTTAAAAATACAATGAGTGGTAGAGTATACTGTCATTCTCAACAATTGGCTCCCCTCCCATAGCAGTAGGGTTCCTGTTCATTTCCATATGACTTCTTAGTGTAGTCTGGAGGACAACTATGAATCCTCTTCTCTTTGGCTCTGGCTTTCCCTTGAGAAATGCTCTGGCCAATGGGATGAGAGCGGGTTTGTCAGACTCTTGCACCCCAGAGGGGTGCTACACCATCAGCCTAGGCCCCACAATAATGAAACACATGGAGCCTCCGGAGTGGAGCCTAACACATCCGCTGCCAACCCTCAGACCCATAGAGGTAAAAATATGTACGATTGGAATCTAGTGAGACATTTTTATTTTTTTTTAAATTTTTATTATTATTATTTTTTGGTACCGGGGATCGAACTTGGGTCCTTGTGCTTGCGCAGCAGGCGGTGAAACCACTGAGCTAAATCCCCAGCCCTAGTGAGACATTTTTAAAGTATTGACTGCTGATGAATACAAGTGGCATCTGTTTCTTTAAACTAAATCTTTATCCATAGATCTTAAATCCTATGCATTCATTGTACAGAACTCAATGCAAAGGATCACTTTAGAAATCACAGCTGTCTCAATGATTGTTCCATGGGCACCGGTTCCAGGGAAAGCAATCCCAAGGCTGTGCAGGCTGGCTTGGCTTCTGCCACGGGCAAGCTGATGAGGTGGCAGAATTTGAGTCCATCGACCTCCAATTCAGAGAACCCAGCTGGCAGTCCTGGCAGTCCCTCCCCCTTTGGCCAGGCAGCAGGCACCAGAATATTCAGTCTCTAGCACTAATCTTGTCTCCTATTTTCTAAACAACAACAACAAAAAAATTGAGGGTGAAGATTTCCTTACCAGGTCCTGGGCAGAAACAGCTATTGCTTTTGTACCTGTCTCTTCCTGTGACTGGCTCTTTCCCATTCCTCTGGCCTCACCTTGCCAGGGAAGCCCCCTTCCCTGACCACCACCCGACTCTCACCCACCTCTGACTGCTCTTCTCTCAGCTACCCCGTTCCTCCCTTTGGCTCTGCTGTAGGCTCTGTCTCCTTTGTCTCCTCACAACAACAAGGGAGTTTCTCCCTTTTGCAGCTTCTAGGAACTGCAGACTCTTTCTTCTGGGGATTTTCACCCTCCTTGCAGGTTGTGACTCCTAAGACCAACGGGCATCCCCATGAGGCCTGAACCCATCCTTCAGTTCCTTCCAACAAGACTCACTTGCCAAGTCTTCTCTGGAAGGCTCTCTGGTAATAGCTTATTCTGTTCCTTTGAAGAAGCAGCTTCAGGCTCCCTGAAGCCAGGAGGTCGGGACAGTGATCACGCACCCAACTCCTGAGTCAGCTTCCTATAGCCTTAGTGGACAGCAGAGCTAATAATTAATGATGGACACCCCCAGAGGCTTGCTTTAGGCAACATCAGTCCCTCTGGCCAAGTTTACAGGCAGCAAGGACCTAGAGCCTTGGGGCCAACTGAGTATGCTCCTTTACCCAAGGGATCGAAAGGAGATTTATGGCCAGGATTAACAGCAAAGTAACTGCTAGGGGGGAGTGAAATGAAGTTCATACGGCCTCACGAGGCCTCTCTCTCTTCTTTAATCTTTTCCTTTCCTTGCCTTCCAGCACAGCCTGTTTGTTTGGTTTTCCCTTTACTTCAGCCTTTTTCGGATTCCATCTCCTCTCCTGTATCTACACTCACTCTACCCATGATTTCATCCAGTGTCTCGGGTGGGATCCAGCTGTCTCGCCAGAAACTCCACATGTCACTGAACTTCACTCCTGCATCCAAATCTTCATTTCTCCGCTGGGACATTCCAATGGGCATTTCAAACTTATTTATTCCAAGTTGAGTGCCTGATTGCAACCCTTTCTGTAAATCGCTGCGCCCCTTCTACAGTCTCATCCATCCCAGGGTACGGTAGCCCTACGTCTCCACGTCTTCCTTCTTGAAACCTTAGCATCCCCTGTCTCTTTCATGCTGGATCTAGCGAATCCACCAGCACCACCTTCACACTCTATCTGGAGTCTGTCTCACTCTCGTCCCTGTTCCAAACGCCATCTCCTCTCCAGAAGAGTATTTTGTAACCTCTTTCCTAATCCCGCTCTGGTCCCTCCCCAGAGCCCTGTGGTACTTCTCCAAATGTCTAAAGTTCATTCTCATGTCCATCTACTCTTCACTGATCAGGAGAGTTTGGGGAGGTAGAAAGTACGGGACCCTAGAAGCAGACATCTTTTCTAACCTGACTCCACCTCTTACTATTGGGTGATCTCATTAAGCCTCAGTTTCCCCATCTGTAGAGTAGGACCCACAATGGCCTTTCTCAGAAGGCGAGTGTGATGCTTGTATAGCACTTAGCATCCTCCGAACATCTCAGAAGAACACGGGCCTTTGCTGGAGTTGATCAAAAAGCCAAAACACAAAGGGCTTTTCAGATCCAGAGTGAGCAATAACTTGCTTGTGGTCACGCAGCAAGCAAGTCAGTCACAGGCCCAGGCCTAGAAACTTAACCCCCCAGAGGAATGTCCTACACCAGTGTCACTGGCTCAGAGTGGATCCTCAGACAAGAGCTAGAAATCAGAGGTCTCTGAGCTGCTAGGATGAGATCTTTTACAGGAACACCCACCAAATGGATAAATACCCTGGCCAGATTGGGATCTGTGGGCATCTCAGGCCATGTGGGATCCTATATCTTTCCAGATGAGCAGAGTGAGGTTGAGGCCACCGTTTCCATATGGCCAGTGATGGGACCCCTTAAATGGCAGTTTCCACTGAAGATGCAAACCTGGACGCATAGGCCCACAGGCCAGGGCAGGATGGAGATGCCAGATAACTGGAAGTAACTATTTGGTGAGGACACAAAGGGACAAGAACTCACATCAAGGGACACCTTGGAGAGCCAGAGGTCTTGAAGACCCTGGAAGCCAGGGTCCAAAAGGGACTCAGGAGAAAGAGCAGCAGAGATCCACCTGCAGAGTGCACAACAGGCGCTTTGAGCTCCTTCCCCCTTTCTCCGGGCCAACCGTAGGAACCAGAGCTGGCCGGTCCTCTTTCTGTAGGGCAGCAGCCACCGCCTGGCAAGAGTTCTTCACTCACCCTGGGAAAGGTGCAGAATTCCACCTGCTGGCCTTTTGCCCTCCAGCCTTGAAGTCCCTTCTTCTGAGGCCTTGTAACAGGTGCTTCTGAGTATCTCTGGGAGATCTCTTGTGTATCCTTCCAGGGAGTTCTCTGGGTGGCCCTCAAGTCCCTCTTGCTCTTCCTCCTCAGTGCCCCTCACACCTGCACACAGGAGGCTTCAGAGCACCCAGAGCCTGGGGTCTGCTGGACACCCCCTCCCTCCTTTCTAGCCATTCCTTTGATTCTGAACAGCTCACCACACAGGGGAGGAAGCAGGGCCCCCAAACCTGGAGTGGGAATCTAAATCATGCCGGCTGACTTGTTCTGACCCCTAAGGCTCCATTTAGAGACTTTAAGAAATATAGTTAGCTGATTATAGTGGCCTTTTGTAATCCTAGCTACTTGGGAGGCTGAGGCAGGTGGATTCCAAGTTTGAATCCAGCCTGGGCAACAACCAGCCCTCTTTTAAAAAAGCAAGCTGCATCTGTCTTCTGGTTGAGAAACAAGAAGTTGTGTTCTCTGAAGGAATTTGAGAATGAGACTTACCTCCTTAGCACGTACGGGCCTCCTGAGAGTCCCAGGCTCACTTTGGTCCACCAGGAGTCCAGAAATGACCCACTATTCCTGCCGCCCTCTCTCCTTTGAAGACATCCTCCACCCCCATCTTGGGTGCCAGAGGTGCTCACCTCTGCCAGATTTACAATCCTTTCCTAGATAGGGAGCAGGTATAGATTTCATCCACCATTACTGCTCCGGTCCTTATACGTTTCTCTTCTAAGTCTAGATCGTGCTTTCTTCTGCATCATGTAGGTACCACCTCTTTCCTCTTCCCTGAACAAAGACTAGCTGATTCCTGGGCTCCTGAGGTAGCAGCCTTTTTTCCTATAACCAGATGGTAGAGCCTGGTGGGTATGCGCTAAGGGCCTGAAATCAGGTTTGAGTTTGGGTTCTCTGCACTGAGCTGTGTGCCCATGAAAAAGTTGTTACCCTACCCTGAGCCTCAGTTTTTCTTGACTAGAAAGTGAGGCAAATCCTAGGACCTCTTAGACATGTGAGCCTTGAATTTGATGATGCATATTCAGCATCCAGCCACCAATATGTGTAGAAAGCTCTGGTCTGGTGCACTAGAAACTACTCAACTCAGTTGTTTCCTGAGAGAGCAAGCTAAAGTGTTTCTTTTTAAAAAATCTGATAATTCCAATTCAAGCTCTTCATTTACTTATTTAAAAAGCAAACCAGTAAAATTTTTAAAACAACAAATACATTGCACAGTGTAAGTACTCAATAAATTGAAGTGAATGCAATTTAGAAAGGAAGACTCAGAGGGCGATTCTGGGCTCATACCCACACACACGCACAGACAGAGGGGCTGCGGGCCACGAACCTCCCTGTGGACCTCACAGATGCAACAGACTTGGGATGATCAAGGCTGTGCAAATGGAAGGAAGCTCAGGGAAAAGTCTTTTGTCCTTCCAGAAACTGAGGCAAGAAGACCCACAGACTCATTTTGTTCCGACTTCCAGAAGACAAGCCATGGAATGGTGGCTGTCTTGCCAGCTAGTCAGATAGTACCAACTGCTGCTATCAAATAGACCCAGAGGTGACCAAGATAGATGCCTTCTAGGTAATGTAGACAATAGCATGGGAAAGGATTTAGTTTATTTAGATACTGTTAAGGGTAGGTCAGAAGTCAGATCACGAGTAGTCATTCAGGACCTACCAGTTAACCTTGATTTTACACCAAAATAATAATCAACATTTTGACCTCAACCTGCAAAGCCCTGTATAATTTCCACAATCACTCTCTTCCTTTTTGGCTGATATCCTTCCACCCCTCCCTGCTGCCAGGTACTATATTCCTTAATTCTTATAGAATTTACTCAATGTTATAGAACTTATTTTTTTTAACTATTTTTGCCTCTCTTTCCATTAGACTAAGGTGCATGAGAACAGAGATCTTTGCCTGTCTTCACTGATTTAGCTAAAGAACTTAGGGCAAAATCTAGCACAGAGTAAGAACACAGTAGATATCTGAGTGGATGAATGAATGCTGTGGAGAAAATAGCACATGGACACGTGTTGACGTGACGTATGTGACTGTGTAAAGTGTGTAGCTGTGTGGCACAGCCCATAGGCACGTGTGTGCATGCGTGTGTGTGCTTGTGTACACAATTGCCGTTCATGTGTGGTTCAGTGCAGGCGACTGTGCATGTGGGTTTGTGCACAGGTGTGTCAATGAGCGTGTGGGAGCATGAGAGTGTCAGACTGTGTGTGTGTGTTTTGCAAGATGACTTTAGACCAGCAGCTTTCACACTTGTTCTTTTATGACTGTGACAGAGTGAAAGTATTTTCCTTTAAAAGTGAGTTGGGCCTGGGGATTTAGCTCCGTGGTTCTGCCGACTGCCTCGAAAGCGCCAGGTCCTGAGTTCAATCCTCAGTACCAAAAAAAAAAAAAAAAGGAGTTGACTTTGACATAGATGTTACAAGGATAGAGCTACAGCCATGAAGGTGAACAGAACCAGGAAGAGTTGAGAAGAACTGAGTGGATTTTAGCAGCTCCCTCAGCAGCTGCCTGGCACAGAATAAGTTCCTAATACAGCAATGGGGCTCAGCGGTTGTTGCTGCTGGTACCATCACCAGGGCCTTCCGGGGTGGGTGGGGGTCTTGGCTCCCTATGGCACAGCCGTGATGGGAGTGTTGGCTTTCTGACTGTGGAGCCTAGCTGAGCTGAGGTCACTTTGTAGCCAGGTTGACTGGGAATCAGGTGTCAGCAGGGAGGACCTGAGGGCAGGGGCTTGGATCTCATCAGCCCTGACATCTGCCTGCTGCAGCATGAACCAATGACCCAGGGGAGCTTTGATCACAGCTGGAGAACAGAGCACCCTGGGCTGTGGGCCGGGAAGAGGGTGCGGAGACCACTTAGCAAGAGTGACACAGTGACGGTGGGTGCTGCTTCCTACCATCTGAGCCCTGCTTTCAGGGAACGAAGAGAGAGGTAGTAGAGTTAGCTCTGCCCCTCTGATAATCCTGGGGCTCAGGAATCCTAGCAGCGTCAGATGCATAACCCCAGTCTTTGAACCCCACAGCCCTAAAGATGTTGAGGCTCGGGGACCACATGTTTTCCTCGCTTCTGGCTCCCTCTGCTGTTGGCCTTAGGCAAACTCCAAAGCCCTCAAGTTCCCTAAAGAGAATTTGTACACCTCAACAGGGTCCTGAAGACAAACAGCATAGAGAGCAAATAAATTGCCTAATACTTTTGGTTTTAGGAGGAATATTTAAATTTTAATTTTATGGAAAGACAAAATTCCTAAATCAAGCCATGCTGAATTGTGAGGGTGAAGGGTATGGACATCAGAGCCAGATCACCTGGGTTTGAATTCTAGCTGAGAGATTCTTTCATTGAGTGTCTTTGAGAGGTGAGATAAAAATGGGGTGAGTGCTGCTGCTGCTGCTCCTGCTGAGTGCCATCTAACGGAAAGGCAGGCTCATAAAAACATCACAGTTCGTCCTCATCCACCTTAATCACTGGATCAGCGACTATGCGACATCTGGCTCTTCTCCAAAGTCAAAATCACCATGAAAGGTAAATGTTTTGAATTGATGCAGGACATCCAGACAGCCACAAGAGTGCAACTAAAGACATTCATGAAAGAGGACTTCCAGAACTGCTTCAGAAAATGGCAAGAACAATGGGATTAGTGTGTTTGAAGTGAGGGGGAGTATTTTGAGGCAGATTAATGGTAATGTGTCTTGTACTGTAATACATTTTAAAAAATTAAACATTACTCATAGTTTTTGATCACACTGCGTATGTTTTCTTAGTGACATTTACCACAGTTGTACATTCATTTTCATTATCCTGTGATAAGTGATACTGGCTTCCGGTAGGGGAAGTGGGAGGGGCAGGGAAAAGGAAAGAAGGGAAGGGAAAAATGATGAGAAATGGAAAAAATGGAAACAAAGTCTTTGTAAATAGGGAAGGGTGGAGGAGGTGCAGGGAGGGCTGGGAATGGGGAAAAATAAGAACAAAGGTGCATCACGTAAAGGTACAAGATCCCAATGAGAAATGTAAATGTGTTGTATACCTAAAATGTACCAATAAAAGAATTTTTTTAAAAAGTGATACCGGCTTCCACTGAGTAAATTCTATAAGAATAGTTTTATGGGCTGAATTGTCTTCCTTCTCCCCTCATTCATATGCTGGAGTCCTAACCCAGGACCTCAGAGTGTGACTGTACTTGGAGGCAGGCTCTTTAAAGAGGAGGTTAAGTTAAAGTGAGGTCATAGAGTGGATCCTGACCCAATAGGACATGACAGGTGTCCTTATAAGAATAGCAGATTAGGACGCAAAATCTGTGCACAGAGGAAAAAGACAGGGAGAAGATAGCAATCTGCAGTTGACTGCGGAGAGGGCTTCAGCATGACACCAACCTGCCAACACCTCCATCGTGAACTTGGAGCCTCCAGAGTGTGAGCGAATAAACCTTTGGTAAACAGCTGGTTGCTGGGACTCAGTTATGGCTACCTAGCAAGCTCACACAAGTAGGGACTGGGTTGGCTTTTGCTTATCCTCAGATTTCCAGATCCTGGCACAGCGTAGGTGCTTAATATGAACTTTGGAGTGGATGGAGGTGCTGGGAGTTAGGTGGGGCACTAGGATGCTCTGAGTTTCCATCAGCTTCTCTTCCATGTGGTGGCTCTTGGCTGTCCCAAGCCACACCCTCCAGCTGGAGGCTGGGATGTGGATTCAGATCTGGTCTTTGGGCTCTTCCAGGGTAACACATGACACTGGCATCCAGGAGGAAGTGTGGGTGCATGAGGGGTGAGCGAGATAAGACCCCATGTGTAGTTTTGGGAGGTTTCTCTAAATAACTTTTTAATTAAAATAGTTGTAGCTCCTTATTAAAAATACACGGAAAGTACAGAAATGTATAGAAGAAAGGAAACATTGACTATCTTTTATTTTCTCTCCCTCCTCAATTACCAGGAAAATTACTACTAGCATGTTAGTGTATTTCCTTCCAGTTGTTTCCCTACCTATAGTTTTCCTTTTTTCCCTCAGAGTCGTGATTCTCCATTTTGGAAATAATTTTCATTCTACTTTAAAAATTTAGTATACCTTATGTTTTCCCCAAGATATAATAAACTATCCTTAAGTACTTTAAATAGCCATATAATATGCTGATTTAATTGATGATGACTTAATAATTTTTCCTATTGACATTGATTATTGTTTTGTTTTTCAGTTTTAAACAATGCTGCAGTGAACATCTTTTTTTATTATTACTTAAATTCTTTTATTGGTACATTTTAAGTATACAACACATTGACATTTCTCATTGGGTGCTTGTACCTTTACATGATGCATCTTGGTTCTTATTTTTTCCCCATTCCCCTGCCCTCCCTTCAACCCCTCCACCCTTCCCTATTTTCAAAGACTTTGTTTCCATTTTTTCCGTCTCTCATCATTTTTCCTTTCCCTTGCCCCTCCCACTACCCCACCCCTGCAGTGAACATCTTTGTGCACCAAATGTTTTCTACTTTTTTTTTCCTTTGCAGAATGGGGGATTAAACCTAGTGCTTTTGCACAGAGCTACATTGCCAGACTTTTTTCCCCCCTAGGAGACAGGGTCTCATTAAATCTTTAAGCATTCCTCCTGCCTCAGCCTCCCAGAGTTGGAATTTCGAAGTTAAAGGGTATGACCAATTGTATGGCCTGGATGCTCTTACCAAATGGCTTCATCCCAAAGGCTTTATACTCCCACATGAGAGACGACACACAGTGGACAAGGCTATGGTAACCCATCATTCCTCCGGGCAGCTGGGAGCTCTTAGTAAGACCAAGGGGGCAGATGCAGGGGTCACCTCCAGGCAGCAGGGCAAGGTGAGCCACTGAGCGCTTGCTAGACAGGTCCAAGGCTCTGTGCTCTGGGTCAGTGACGCGCTTCCTTTTCTCTCCAAGACCGTGCAGTGATTCTGGAGATGCCCACTTAGAAGCTGAGCCTCTTGGCGTCTGTGAGGTTGAGGGGATGATGTTTTCAGCAGGGGCTGACAGTGATCCCACCACCTCCTGGAGCACCCAGCGGGCTATGGGGCTGGGGCTGCACGTCATCTTGCCCACTCTTGGTTTCTCAGTTTACTCCTTTGGATCTTTCCAGAAACCGTCTTTGGCAGTTCTGAAACAAAAGCCACCTAGTGGCCAGAAGACAAAAACAAAAAGCACTTAGAAATCATTTCCCCAAGAGACACTTGTTTTAAAAGACAAATGCTGCCACTTCTTGGAAAGCTTCCACGAGCCAGGCTTTTCCCCAAGTGAAACAATCCAAGCAACTAGGGCCCAGGGCAGCAGTCTCTCAGCACTTTGGCATCTGATTTATAGGCCAGTTCTTAGAGTAAGAGCACAACGCACTCTGGGCAGGGCCAGGTAAAGAAACAGAGACAAGCTGGGTGAGGTGGCACATGTCTGTAATCTCATCACCCTGGGAGGCGGAGACAGGAAGATCACAAGGTTAAAGCCCATTTAATGAGACTTGTTTCAAAATAAAAAATAAAAAGGACTTGGGATGCAGCTCAGTGGTAGATTACTCCTGGATTCAATCCCTAATACTAAAAAAAGAAAGAAAGAAAGTAAAAGAGAGAGAGAGAAAGAGAGAGAAAAACAGAGAGAGAGAGAGGCTGCAGCAGGAACTGGGGATATATGTACCTCTGCTTCTGCCCTCCCAGTATGTGGCCCAGAGCCTGGCCCTGTGTGGGAACCAGGTAGCACATGGCCATCTGATTTCCCGGCTTGTTGTGACCTAGAACTTGGGGTGTTTACCTTCCTGGGGTACTTGTATGGAGCAGTCACCCTCTTCACGTGCTCCTGGAGTTCCCGGGTCAGTGCCTCTGGGTCATGGGAGTAGTAGGCTGGAGAGAGGACTATGAATGCCTTCACCACCTGTAAAGTCCCCAGCGACAATCAAGCCTTCTATAAACAACTCTCCTCTCCTTAAGCCAGCCTTGTAGCCAGGTGCTTCATTTCCCAGCCCTCCAGAAGGTTCTGCCCATTCCATGGGCACAGTTGGCAAAATGGACAACATGGATTTTTCTGTTGTCTGCTTTTCAGGATCAACTGTTGGAAGCACTGGCTTTGTGGAATGAGTTCTGAGCCCTATTTGCCAAGCAACCCCTATGCGTGCCATGACCCCACTAGAAGGCAAAGTTACTTCTCTTAAGATGCAAATGTAGGACCAGGGATTTAGCTCAGTGGTTTCGCCACCTGCTATGCGAGCTCAAGGACCTGAGTTCGATCCCCAGTACCAAAAGAAAAAAAAGATGCAAATGCATTGAAGAAAGGAGCTTTCCAGATTCCTGTGGCCACTAACTTCCAGATTTTCCTGACTAGGAGGACAGCGAGGAATGGGTTCAGTAGGGCAGAACTGGAGGAAATGCAACCACTTTCAAGGGGAGCTGTTTTTTTAGGGTTTGGGCCTATGTGTGTGGGGCAGTAGACAGTATGTATGAATGTTTGTAATCAACAAATGCTGAGAAGTACTGCTTCTGTTCCGAGCATCCTGAAGACACCTGCACCCAGGCTTTCTCTATAGGCTGGGTTTTTCCTATAGGCTGCCTCCTATGCAGGAAGAGGAAGAGCCTTATTCCCTGGTATAACTGAGCAGGGTTTCCCATAGGAATGAAAAACCTCAAGTGGCCACTGGGTTGCAGATCCACATCAGCCTCAAACTCCGCCAACATCTTGTTAAGGGGTAGTTCATGGTCCTTGAACACTTCCCAGAGGTGGGAAGCTCACCGTCATTTCATATTCAGGCAGATCTGGCTTCCAGCAAGCACTCTGTCTTACTATGAAAAACAGCAAACCTTTATTGAGCGCTTGCTCTGTGCCAGGCTCTAATCTAAGCAGTATACACGAACTAACCTTGAGGATACAGCTGTTTGTTTCAGCTCCAGTGAATTCACAGCATGCCAAGCAAGGCGCACTCTTCCAGGTGTAATTTCTCCAGCTCCAGCATAGCTGGAACTCACATCTCCCCCATCCTATATTCCTGGACTCAAATTTCCATGGAGAATCATTTGGCAAGGGGCTGCTGGCTAAAATGCAGGTGCTCTGGGCTGCATCCCCAATCATTCTGATTCAGCAAGTCTGATTCGAGGTCTACAAATCAGTGTCTGTACAATGCAGCTGTGAAAAGCCCAGGGACCAGACTCTGAGGGTCACTCCTCTGGTTCTGAGGCTTCCAAGGATGCACCATGTTGCTGCACTAACTTTCATGGGATAGCTGCGTTGTACTGTAAGATTATGTTGGATTTATAGCCGTGAAAATATGTAGGTCTGCCTACTAGCTGATCTTTCCCATTCTATCTATTTATCTGGGAGGCACAAAAAGGAATTTGTATTTCTCCTGTAAAGTCCAGCTTATTGCCCTTGGCTCATGTTTCTGGTGTATCAAGGCCATTTTGGATACATATTCTGGCACCTCTCAAGCTGGCTGTTCCTCCTGGGTTAGAGCCCTCAGCAACCATGTCTAGTGTGCTCACTAGATCCTCATCTGCAAACAGAAAAGGACTTTTTATTGGACAGAGAGGAAGATAGAACCCACGTCTGCCACCAAGAACTCCTGCCCCACAGCCTCTCTGGACCCAGTTCAGTGGTCCCTCAGCATGAAAGTTTGGTATTTTTCCATTGTGTCCCTCTAGAAAGTACATCTCTAAAGGCGTGAGGGTGATGCTTAGTAAAAAGGAATAGGTGGCTGATGGTGTATTTGGTGTGCTGGTCAAGGGTGAGATGTACAGGGGATTCTGGCCCTTCCTGCTTGCTCTGCTGGGTGCTAACAGGCACGGAAGCTGGAGGCCACGATCTTAGCTGGTCTTCTTACCTCTCCCCGGATCGGGTCTGGGCTGCTGACCACAGCACACTCAAGGACAGCGGGATGTTCGGCAAGGACACTCTCCACTTCAACAGGTCCAATGCGGTAGCTGGAAGAGAAAAACAAACTTTTCCAAGGGGCCTCCCCTCCCCCGCCAAAGTGCAGAGGGTGGAGGAAAGAGCAGGCAGCTTGACCTCGAGGAGTTGATCACGTCATCATTTCTTCCCATGAACCAGAAGTAACCATCCGTGTCCATGCGGCCTCGGTCCCCTGTGATATAGAAGTCTCCTTGTTCCGATGCAGCTGTCTTCTCAGGGTTGTCCTGAAAGATACAGGAAAGCCATGAAGGACCACACAAGCCAGCCATTCAGTGCAGTCCCTGCCACCGCAGGTCTGTTCGGGAGGCTGGGGAGCCCCCAACAAGAAGCCCAGCAGTTAGTTCCGAAGCCCAAGCCAGCCAGGATGCCCCCCTGGGTGGGGAGTATGGTCTGTGAGCTTGTGGGTTTCCCTCTGAATTTGAAGAGAGCTGCCAGGAAGTGATTCAGGGTGAGCATACTTGGCTCTGGATACAAAATATCCCAGAGGTAGAAGACAGAGTGAGGGGTTGGCTGAAAGACCTATTGGAGGGAGACAATGATGGGAGAAAGAGAACACAAACAACAAGCTGATTCTCAAAGCTGTAAAGAAAAAGCCACTACTGGGCAATAAAAAGAAACAAATTCCTTACACTTGCAAAAATATACACTACTGGCAAGCATATTATGCTGAGTATAGGAAACTAGACACTCAAAAGTGGGTATTTTATGGTTCCATTTATATAATTTTTAAGGTAAAATTATTATGTAGTGACCACAAACAATATATCAGGTGCTTAGGATCTGGAGCAGGGAGATTGACCTCAAAGGGGCCCAGGGAACTCGTAGGGGTGACAGAAATGCTCCATATCTTGACTGTGGTAGGGATACACAGGTGCATACATTTGGCAAATGTCACTGACTCATGCACTTAACCTGGGCGCATTTTTGGTAGGGAAATTATAAAACTATATCACCATTCAAAAAATGCATTTTGAGAAGAAAGGAAAATCTGTAAGGTGTGCACACAGAAAAAAAGCTACAGGATAGTAAAGATGATATCAATAAATAGATGGAAAGAATTATAGAGATGTCAGTTCTTTCCTTGTTGATTTATAGACTGAATGCAACCCCAATTAAAATGCTTACAAACATTTTCATGGAACTTGACAAGTCAATTCTAAAACATATGAGGTGTGATTAAAAAAAGAGTGAATGTTTAAATTTTAAACAATTATTACAGCAAACAACATAGTGCCAATAACCCCCCTCAAAACCCTCCCCCAACTTGGAACACACTCCTCCCATCATTTGTGCCAATTTCTGGAGCAGTTCTGGATGTCCTCTTTTCTTGGGTGTCTTTAGTTGTGCTGTTGTAGCTGCTTTGATGTTCTTCTGAATTGATTCAAAATGTTTGCCTCTCATGGCGATTTTGGCTTTGAGAAAGACACAGAAGTTGCATGGTGCCAGATCCAGTGAATGAGGTGGATGAGGACACAGTGTAATGTTTTTACAGCACCGCCTTTCCATTGGATGGCACTCAGCAGAACCACTCACTGTATTTTTGACCATATCTCTCAAAGACACTGACAAAAGAGGACTTCCAGAACTGCTTCCAGGAGTGGTAGTTACAGGTGGAATGAGTGTGTTCTAGGTGAGGGGGAGTATTGTGTGTGTGGGGTTAATGACAGTGTACATTTTACTGTATAAAACATTGGGTATACAATTGACATAGGCATATTAGTTCAATCAGTACTGCAATTTCAGTTATTTGGGACTGGCCAACATGAGCTTGGAAAATGCACACTTACCATGGGAGGAGGGTGGGTTTAACTTGTCAGAAACTTAGACTATTAATACGTAATGGTATATTATTTCTGACTATTTCAGAAATTTGGTCTGAAATCCTAGAGTACAAGGAATGCCAGGAAACCTGGAATCTGGAATCCTGGAAACTTGTCTCTGACCTATAATTGCAGTTTGACCTTTGGTAAGTCCCTTCCTTCCCTGAACTTCAGTTTTTCTCTTTTTTAGGATGATGAGGATTTAGGACACAGGAGTGTCATATGTTTGCACCCTCAGACACACTCATGAGATTCCACCACACCCCAGGAAGAATAGTTGCTGTCATGAAATCAGTCAGTAACAAATGCTGGCGGGGGTGTGGGGAGAAACGAACCCTTCTCCATTGTTGGTGGGAGTGCAGACTGGTGCAGCCACTGTGGAAGTCAGTATGGAGAGACCTCAAAGAACTAGGGCTGGAGGTCCCATTTGACCCAGCTATTCCCCTGCTGGGGATCTTCCCAAGAGAATTAAAAAAATCATACCACAGAGATATATGTGAACCCACGTTTATAGCAGCACAATTTGTAATAGCTAAAGCTTGGAAACAGCCCAAGTGCCCATTGACTGGAAACTGGATAATTTTTTTAATAAAATGGAGTACTACTCAGACATAAAGAATGAGAAACTAGAGTCATTTATAGCTAAATGGATGCACACTGAGGCCATACTCTTAAGTGAAATAAATAGGACACACAAGTGTAAATACCAAATAGTTTCTCTGGTATAAAAAATTGAAAGTGTAAATAAGAATCAAAATGTATAATTGATATTGTGAAACAGGAAGAAAATGTCTAAAGGAGTAGGGGAAGTGGGAGGGTTAGGGGAAAGGAAAGAAGAGAAAAGAAACAATTTGAGAAAGGAAAAACATGGAAACAAAGTCTTTGTGAATAGGGAAGGGTGGAGGGGTGAAGGGAGGGCAGGGGAATGGGGAAAAAATAAGAACCAAGATACATCACGTAAAGGTACAAGTTCCCACGATGAATGTAACTGTATTGTATACCTAAAATGTACCAATAAACTTATTGGAAAAAAAAATAAATAAAAATAAATTCCATGACCCGTGCTACTCACTGGGTGACTGGATAGGTCACTTCATTTCTGTCGTTTCCCAATCAGTGGTAGGTTTTCTGATCAGTGACAGTACCTCAGGGATAGTAGTATCAACCTACCTCATACATTTATGCAAGGGTTAATTAAGCAACAGTATTTATAAAATGTGCAGCCCACAGCTTGCCATGAACTGCACAGTAATTGGGAATGGCTGTCCCTTGCCCCTTACCAAATAATAATTGAATAAGCAGAAGGGCCGGGTGGGTCTGACGCGGACAGCAATGTTCCCTTCTTCTCCTGGAGGCAGGACGTTGCCCTCATCATCCACAATCTGGTGGAGAGGACACAGGACGGTGTCAGCATCTGCACCTCTGGGCCACCCACCAGCCAAGCCTGGGCTCGCTTGGCACAGGTGTCTTGCTGTCCTACCTGCACGTCGTAAGGTGGGGACGCTTGGCCCATGGAGCCAGACTTGATCTTTGTGCCCCTTGCATTGGCACAGATTGCAACCTGGAGAGAGACAGGTGCCAGTGAGGACCCTCGTCCTCTTCCCTTCTTTCCTGGCTGGTGCCTTTCTCTCATCTGCCATCCAGATCTTTCTCCCTCCCTCTCTTCTCCTTCTTCACTGGCTTCTCTTTCTTCCCATCCCTTCTCTCCTTTCTCCTGTGTTTTCTTTCCTTTCTTTTCCCCTCCTTCCTCCCTCTATTTTTCTTCCTGTCTTCCTTTCCACTTTGCTTCCTCCCTCTGTCACTTCCTACCCTCCCCGCTTCCTTTTGGTTCCTCTCCCCATCCATCCATCCACCCACCCATCTATCATTCTACCCTTCCTTCTTTCTTTATTTCTTTCCTTCTTTCTCTCCTCCCCTTTCCACAGTAAGCAAACATTTACAGAGCATGCTAATGGGCACTCACACAAAGAACTTAATATATCATCACTAAACCAGAAGAGACAATTGATACCCCCATCTCTGCCCCAATGGCTGTAGGGGACACTGCTCAGGATTTGGGGCTCCATCAGAAACGGGTGTGTATTGTTCTGGTGGAGACAAACAATACCCTTGGCCAGGACGCTGTTTGCTGGGACAACTGGGGAAATCACTTTCCTTTTAAACCAAAAGGAAGAAAAGCTGATAGTTTTGTTACGAGAGTTTTATTGTCCTGGAGACAGGTGTCCAAGAGAGGACAGTCATAAAGGCAGGAGGAGGCAGGGCCTGGGCCCTGAGCTCACCGTCTCTGACTGCCCATAGCCTTCATGGAGCTCCAGGCCCGTGTGGCGCTTCCACTTGTCCCTCACATCAGGGTTGAGGGCCTCTCCTCCAGCCAGACAGTGCTGTAGGCTCTGGAACTGGTACCTTTTTCAGGCAAGAAGGGGAAGCCATCCAGTCAGGACCCATCCCCTCCCACCCTGGCTGAGTCAGACACCCAAAGGCCTGGCAAACTACCCTGCTTCATAAGCTGTCCCAAGTGCCCCCAACCCAGTGGCTTTGCAGCCATGTTCCTCGGGGACAGATACTTTTTTAAAAATCCTATCTGAATTTGCGATAAAATCAGAACCTCATATGGCGGCTTTCAGCATATGATGAGTTCCAAGAGAATTGACCAAAATAACTTAGATGGAAATAAATTTGTTGAGACAATGATCTGATTGAGAACGATAAGTTGATTAAAAATGTAAAAGATAACAAGGAGCCTTCTAAGAATGCCAGGATTCTGAGGAATGATCCCCACATTCCTAAAGATATTAAATAAATTGCAAAACTACCTCTCAGTTCAATAAATTGTCCAAAGGGTAAAAAAACCCCAAAAAAACCTGTGATTGTAAACATATTTTCAATCTTTTTCTCCCTTTGGATCACATTGTTTGGATTGAGATATTTGGTACTGCCAAATATCATTCAATCAAATTTTTAAAACAAATTACTAGAGCCCAGATCACCATGTGGAGATGGGCACAGCAGATAGGGAATGGGCCTTACATGATAGATCTTATCTCAACAGAATCAGTGCATCCTTTTAGGACCTCATGGCCAGGAGGTGCTTGGGAGAGATGAGGACCAGGTAAGAACAAGGCTCCATGCCTTGGGTTAGGACAAAAGAGGGACATAGACTGGGGTCAGTGGATTCCTAGAGGTGACAAAATTCTCTCCAACACCTGCAGCCAGCACACTTTGCCGTGGATGCTCCCAGGATGAGAGCCACCACAGTGTTTGTCACCTCCTCTTGGATGCCCAATGGCAGGTGCCTACAGAATGGTTGGTTTGCATTCATCGGGGGCAGGGAGATGGGGCATCTACTGTGGTGAGTGTATTGGTCCTGCTGGGCCCAAGGGTCCTGGCCAGAAGGCTCATTCCATAGCCAGCTGATAGTAATCCAGCAATATCTCTAATCTCATAGACGTAATGGACACACTGTTGAGGGAATCACCTGTGGGTGCACGGTGGGAGACAGCCCACTCTGAGGGGTGAAGTTCATACTACCTTAAATCTACTCAGGTCCATCTGGACGTGAAGTCCTAGGGGTCAGAAAATGGTCTTCGGGGGCCATTTTGAGGGATGTGGGTGTGTGTGCTTGTGGTGAGGTGTGTGCATGAAAAAGACAGCCGACAAACAGACGCAGATACGGAAATACAGACAGAAGAGGCCTAGAGAGACTGAGAGAAAAACAGTTGGGATGAGAGGGTGGTGTGTATGTGGCCTCCTCGGCTGTCTACTCACATAATTAGGCCCTCCAAGCAGCCAATGCTGGGCTGTACCTGGTCAGATCCTCCTGAACAAGCAACCGGAAGATGGTTGGGACACAGCAGAAGTTGGTGATCGGGTACGTGGAGAGGGTCTAAACAAAACCAGAGATATCCAGATGTGGCGGCAGACACCTTTAATTCCAGCCTTTGAGAGGCTGAGGCAAGAGGGTCATGAGCCCAAAGCCAGCCTGGGATACTCCGAGACCTTATTTCAAAACAACAACAACAACAACAACGACAACAACAGCTTTTAGAGTCCCTATGGTGGTACTGCACGGAAAGGAAGCAGGTGAACTGGGTCTTTGTAGTCTCATTACCAACTATGTGTGGAATGCAATCTCCAAGATAGCTGCCAGTGACCTCCGTCTCCTGGTATTTGCACATTTTGGGGCCCCTTCCCATGAAACACCAAGGTGGGCCTATGTGGCCAATAGCACACAGTCAAGATGATGGATATCACCTTTGAGATTAGGTTCACAGATGATGGCATCTGGCTTGGAGATTTTGCTCTCCTGCTCTCTTGGGTTACTCACTGTGCAGGAAGCAAAGCATCATGTTGTGAGTATACTTTGCCCTGTGGATGAGCACACAGAGTGAGGAACTGAAGCCCACCACCAGTAGCCAGTGAGCAACAGAGGTCTGCTAAAAAACATGGGTCAGTTTTCAAGCAAATTCTCCAGCCCTACCCAAGCCTGAAGATGACTATGGTCCTGGATGACATGTTTCTAAAAATTATTGTAGTGAAATACAACATAAAATTTACCTACTTTACCCATTTTGAAGTGGACATTATGTTCACATTGTTATGAATCCATGAGCATCATCTATCTGCAGAACTCATTATCCTTCCAAATAAACTCTTAACCCAGTACATGGTCATTCACTATTACCCTCTTCCCTCAGTCCTGGTAATCACCAATCTACTTTCTGTCTCTATTGATCTGGCCACTCCAGGTACCTTTATGTAAATCATGTAACATTTATCTTTAGAGGCCTGGCTTCTTTCACTTAGCATAATACCCTGAAGGTTCATCTAGGTAGTAGCAGAATTTCCTTCCTCAGAAAGGCTGAATAATATTCCACTGCGTGTGTCGGCCATGTTGTACTTAACCTTTCATCGGTGGTTTGGTATGTAGGTTGCTTCTACATTTTAGCTGTTTGAATCATGCTGTCATGAGCATGGTGTACCTGCTGTTCTCTTGACTACAACCTCATGAGAGATCCCGCTTTAGAACCACCAACCTGACCTGCTTCCAGATTCCTGATCAGTAAATTGTGACATAACCAATACTTAGTTTTAAGCTGCTACATGTCAGGTTAATTTACCAGAGCAGTAGATAAAGAATATGTTATGTCAGGGCTGGGCTATAGACAGAGAACACACACACACACATTGGCAGTCAAGACCCATATGGATAATGCTGCTGCTGCTGAGTTTTATTAACAATAATAAGATGTGTTAAGAACCTATGATGTGCCAGGCTCTGTATCTGGTATCGTTTTGTTCTCATGATAACGCTATAGAACTATGTTATCCTTTTCTTTTTCTTTCAGAGAGGGCGAGTCTCAGGGAGGCTAGGTGATTTTTCCAAGGCCACACTATTAGGGAAGATGTAGGCTAAGAGCCAGGTCTGGTAGATGGCACAGCCTGTGCTATTGGCCACCGTATGATACAGCTTGCTTAAAACAAAGATTACAGGAAGATTGGCTCTGTGATGTTTTAGGGACTGTCAGTTGGGATGCAGAGGACAGAAGAAAGGAGCCCTGCATCTTTGCTGGGGGTATCAATTCTCCTTTCATGTGAGAAGCCCCTGGGAGCCTGGGCAAGAGTCAACAGGACTGCAGTTGGGCGAAAGACTCATGGTAAGCACTATGGACAGCAGCTCGGGTTGTTGAGGAGCCACTCTGATTTGACCTAAGGATTTGACAAGTAACTTGGGTTTTGACAGGATCATGGGGAAGAAGGTGGTGGAGAGAGAAGCACCTCAGGCAGGGAAAAAGGTTGTACAAAGGTTTGGAGAGAGGAAATGTTCCTTATCTAAGAAGCTAGCTTGGTAAATAGACAATGATTGAAGACAGCCAGGTGTACAGGACCTAGACTAGATTAGGGGAGGTCCTGGGAGACTCTTTGGCTAATATCAGTGTGAAGAAGCCTTGTGGTCACTGGTTCTTGCCTTTTCTCCTACAATCTTGAAATCCACACCCCACACATCTCCTTTACACCCAACACTTAAGTAATGTTTTAGTCTCTTACATTCAGGATGACTTTGGTATCAACTCGGGGCATCTCATGAACAAAAACACAAGATCCCATGGCCCAGGTAGGGAAGAAACTCCAGCCTGCCTTCACCCAGCCAGTGTCACTTGTGTTCCAGAAGACATCTGATCCAGTCAAGCCCAACCACCGGCTGCAAAAATGTAGAGAGAGTCAGCATTCTCAGCAATGCCTTTAACTGGAATCCTAGGTACTTGGGAGGCTGAGGCAGGAGGACCACAAGTTTGAACCCAGCTTGAGCAACTTAGTTGGACCCTGTCTCAAAATGAAAAATAAATAGGGCTCAGTAGTAGAGTGATATATAAAAGGATTATATCATCCATATTGTCTTATTTGGAGCATGGGCCACTGTGGGTACATACTCGTTTATGCTTGTCAAAATTGTATAAAGGTCAACTATTATCTCAACAAATATTTTTTGAGCATCTTTTGTGTATCTATAACCCAGGCTAAGGATACAGAGTTAACACGATCGATCCCATGTTTTCTAGGAGTTCACAGTCTAGTGAGAGCAATATATAAGGAAACAAATGATCCCAATATATTGGGATAAGGGCACCTTTTCTTCAGTGAGCACGTATTTAGCACTTAGTCTACACTTAGCATCAGGGATATAGAAATGATTAGTTTTATTTTGAGTAGCTTACAGTTTAGTAAGAATGAACATCTAGGAAGCCTGGGGAGAGCATGTTTTAAAAGAGTGAAACACAAACCTTATACCATGACGGTAACTAGGAACCTGAGCCAGAGAAAGGGTGGAGATGGGGTTGAGAAACGCTTCTGGAGAGGAGATGACGTTCTAGTTAAGCTCAGTGGTGCGTGGAATTGCAGAGGTGAGGCAGAGAAGAAGTGGGCGGTGACCAAGTGTCTACCAACACATGAGTGGATTTAAAACTGGGATATGTCCATGAAACGCAAGATAGTTTTAGCCTTCAAAGTTAGAGAATTTTGACATGTGCTCCAAAACTGATGAACCTCAAGGACACTAGGCTAAGGGAAAGAAGCCAAATTTCAAAACCCATGGAGAAATACTATGTACTACAGCTGACACGAGGTACATAGGGTAGTTGGGTTCGTAGAGATGGAAAGCAGAATAGAGGTTGCCAGGGACAAGGGGAGAGGTTAGTGGGGAGTCATCAGGCAATGGGCATGGAGTTCCTGCCTGGGAAAATATAAAACAAATTCTGGAGAGGAATGGTGGTGACGGTTGCTTAACAATGTGAGAGCATTTAATGATACTGGGCAATAGGTTGAAATGGTGAGAAGGATAAATTTTGCTGGAAGATAAGATTTCAAATGCCACCAAAAATAAATGTTTGAGGATTTAGGTGGGTTTACCCTGATTTGAACATTACACAATGTATTCGTGTACTGAAACATCCCTTGGCAGTCCAAGGATAGCAACAATTTTTACGAACTGGGTAAAAATAAATGTTCTTAAAATTGTAAATTTTTATCATGGATATTGTGCTGCACAAAAACTTCCAGTGGCTTTTCATTTTACTCAGAATAAAGCCCAAAGCCTGCCTTGCCCTCCTGTTCCCCCCTACCTGAATTCCTGCCGTCTAACCCTCTCTTACCCCCTCCCACTGACTCACCCACTCTCTGCTCTAGACAGGCTGTCCCCAGTACCTTCCACTGGCCACAAAACCCAGTCCATAGCTGCATTGGGAGTGCTCCACCATCTTGGGGGCTCCAGTCGTCCCGCTGGTGAAGTAGATGACCAGTGGATCCCCACTCTTGGTCCTCACGCAGCTGTGCTCTGCAGATGCCTCTCTGCAAGAGGTAAAAATACCAATGGTGCTCCTAGTAGCAAAGCTAGTGAGTGGTACCAATGATATCAGAGTAACAATATGACCACTGTCTCACCAAATGCCATGTGTGAGGTGCTGTGCTGAGTCTCAGTTTGCATCATTTACAGCCACCTTATGGGAGTTCTGTCATTATAACCCATTTTGCAGACAAGGTTCAGTGACTCACAATAGCCTCATGTTCTTCTACCATGGCCCAAGGACCTTCTAGTGGAACACACACATGCCCACATGCGTGATCCTGCATATTTAGGTGTCACCCAAATTCCTTGTAATTTAAGATATTTTCTAAAGATTTTCCCAAATTTGGAAGTTTGAGTTTTGGGTAATTTCCAAAGTTTTGAGTTTTGGAGAATCAGCTAAACCATGGTTCTCAACCTTGCCTGTAAAAACTGGGTAAGTTTTTAAAAGAAATATCATCCATACCTGGGCCTCACCTTACACAAAGTGAAGTCTAATTATATTATTTTAAAGCTTCCCAGTTGCTTGTAATGACAACTAAAGTTGAGGGCTCCTGATCTAGGACAATTTTTGCTCATCCAAATCATGTGGGCTGATTTTTAAAATACAGATTCCCAAGATCCTAGCTCAGGTATGTCTGATTAAGTAGGTCAAATGTGGGCCCTTGGAATATGTGTTTCAAAAATGCCCAGGGGACTCTGGTCTGTAGGATGCATATTGATAACTGGATAGTGTAGGATTCTGAGGGGTATCTTTTGGATTCTGGCCTTTGATGGGGAGAAAGTCTTAGTTTCCCAGGTCCTTGCTTCAAGGCAAACATGGCTTTGGCTCCATCCCAGCCCTGACTTAACTCCTTTTTAGTATCTTGGGCAAGTCATTTCACTGTTCCAAGCTTGTTTCCTCATCTGTAAGATGGGGTTAGATTGTACTTCGTATAGTTCTTTTCTAGGATTAAATAAGACGATGTCTTATTCATTACAGTTGGGAACATCACACACGATGCTTGTCACTTAACTACGTTGAATTTCTCCTGCATAGAATGTAGGTGAATGCTTACCTAGCATAATGCCTTGCATATACTAAGCACTCAGCACATGGCAGCTATTTTATTATTGACCACTTGCTAGGTACTAAATGCCTCGTATGGGTTATCTAAAATAACCTGACTGTCATAACTAATGCCACCACCATAGAGGCAAGTGGGCCACAGAAAAGCTAGTGGCACACCCAGTGCTGACTGAATGAGTGACCTTAAACACTGAAGTGGTCACAAGGACTATGTCTCAGGTCGGCCTGGCTTCCAAAGTGAGTACCCCTCTCTGATTTACTGCCTTCAAGGGGAGTCAGCAGTTCATTTCCTGTTTTGGTTCTTCAAGGAGAAATGCATGACTTCAAAGACTGAGGTGAGTGACAGGAGTTTTTGGTTTTTTGTTTTTTGGTACCGGGGATCGAACTCGGGACCTTGCACTTCCAAGGCAGGCAGTGGAACCACTGAGCTACATCTCCAGCCCTGCATGACTTTATTTGCTTGTTATTCTTCGGGAGAGCTTCCACTCACTGCAGGAGCTCCCTGAAGTTCACCCAGCCTGGGCGACTGCTGTCAGACACCAACAGCTTGGTCTGCAGGGAGGGGCATTCGGCGCTGATAGCATCCACATGCGGAGCTAGGGAGTCACTGGCCACAATGGACTTGGCCCTGGACATCTGCAGCCGGTACTTGAGGTCCTTCTCCGTCAGCTGGGAGACACCTGGAATCATGACAACCCCTGATAAATCAGGGGCATATTTTAATCATACACTTGGAAAACCTTGAGAATCTCAGAACGCATGTTGTAAACACTCCACTGAGTCCAGAATTCTAATTTCACAGATGAGAAGAAACAAGTCCTGAAAGAATTAGTCCCTCTCCACATCCACTTAGTGAGGACGGGAGACAGAGGAGGGGTCAATCTCAAATAACATCAGAGCCAGACGAAGGTCCCATTGCCCTTTGCTTTATCTCCCAAACCTTTGCAGAATGTAAACCCCATTATGAAGACTTTTGGTGTTTAGTCCCTCTCCACTTTAGCTACTTCCAGTAGAAGCCTGGTCCACTTGCACTTTTATCTGCGGTGCTTTGGGAGGAACTGTGTTCTAGTTCGGGGACCAGTCAGACGGGGGGACAGCCGGAGCTGTCAGCAGAAGAATAAATCAGACACCCACCATGGTCTGGAAGAGAGGTGACAAGTACATCTAAGGAGGACATGGGATGTGAGACTTTGAGGACATCAGCTTGGGTGTCTTCTGACATGGAGAGAGTGCTAGACTTGACAAAGTCACATGGGTTGTGGTTTTGCATAGGAAAGAAATTGATGAACTTGTGTAAATGGAAGAACTGGGGAAATTTACATATCAAAAAATCACACCACTCCAAAGGGAAGTTTCAATCACATAAATCATCTAACATGGTGCCCAACACATAGTGGCTGCTCAAAAAACTGCAGGAGTCCCTTGCCCTTTGGATCTCATCAAGTGGGCCTGCTTTTTATCTCTTCCACTGCTGTCTGGCTCCGAGATGAAGCCAAGTTTGTGGCTGTAAGGCAAGGGGAAGTAAACACAACCACATAGGATTCATTTGCTTCATCTCCCCACCCTTGTGGGAACTGCAAAGCTCTGGCAGGTAGCATCAGCCCTGCCTGGGAGTCCCAGCCCTGCTACTGACCTGTCCGCATGCAGGCCACACTGATGAGCCACCACTCTGGGAGTCGTGGGAGCACCAGGATCATCCTGTCCCTGGGCTGCAGGCCGCAGGCATCCCCCAGAACGTTGGCTGCCTTCCTGGACTGCGTCCCCAGCTCTGCAAAGCTCCACTTGACCTCTGCTCCCCTGCCATCCAGCCACCAGAATGCGGGGCATGAGGGCCGGTGCCCAGCCTAGACAGTGGTGCAGGCAGAAGAGAAATAGAAGCCACTGACTGAGAGGTTTCGTTTGCTTTAAAAAAATTTTTTTTTTAATCTTCTGCAATAGCTAGTATGTTTAGTCTATTTGTAGGGTTTAAAAATTGAGATGGTATGGAAAGATATGCACTGAGGAGGCATGCTCCATTCCTGTGCCAGTCCACCTGTTCCCACCTTCACCTGGCTCAGCAGGGACCGGCTATATTAGTTTCTTAGGAATCTTTCTAGTGTTTAGGCAAACATAAGCACATTTTTTCCATAACAGCTGTTAAATGCAAAATGTAGCATATGATTTTCACTGTCTTGTGTCTGCCTCTTTTTAGCACTGTTATATTAACTTACCATAAAAGTGCACTTTAGGGGCCAGGGATTTAGCTCAGTGGTTCTGGCACCTGCCTCACAAGCAAGCGCAAGTCCCAAGTTCGATCCCTGGTACCAAAAAAAAAAAAGTGCACTTCGTTGCTTTTTTTAGTGTCTTCCATCAAGGTTGTATAACTATTACCACTATCTGTACGTGTGTGTGTGTGGGGGGGGTTCTGGATTGAACCTAGGGCCTTCATAATGAACTACATCCCCTCTTTCCCTGCTAAGTTGCCCTGGCTGAGCTTGGACCTGTGATCCTCCCGCCTCAGCCTCCCAGAATGCTGGAACTAAAGGCATGTGTCACCATGCAGGGACCACTGCTTAACTGAAAACATGTTCATTTTCCTACAAAGGAAGACTGTACAAAGTAGCAGTTCTCCCTTGGCAATAACTTCTTGCTTGATCAAAACCTCCGAGCCAGCCAAAGGTAAGAGCTTAAGGTTTTCTCAGGTGTGAATGTACAAAGTCCTACTGGTATGGTTTGCTTTTGAAATTTCCAGTAATATGTTGGGAGATTTTCAAAGTTCCCATAGGCATCTCATTCCCTAGCTTTATTTTTTGTCTCAGCTCTTTGGTAAGTCTGTTGTTTTTTCCAACTGTCGCCCACTTTACTCAAGCACAAAGTTAAAACACTTGCCTATGATTGTTTTTGGCAAATGGCCACTAAGGAAAAGGGTTTTCTCACTGAATGAGTTCTGAGTCAGGTCAATACAGAAAGGCTTGAGAACTGGGTCTTGCAAAGAAGGGAAAGTAGAGAGGGAGCATACACAGAGAGAGACCCGAAAAAATTGAGCTTATCTTAACTAAGCTCTGTGTATCCATTATGACCTGTGAAAAACTGAGCCAGAGCTTCTTCTTTAGAAAGGAAATCAGTGAGAGTGAGAGCAATGCCAAAGACAGAATAGCAGCAAATCCGAATTTCCTCCTGCACTTGGTCAGATGAATGGGGAGATAATCAGGGTATGATTTTGTGCTCAGGGATTCGAGATCTCTCAGGAATTATGAAAGGAGGCTTGTGGCTTATAACACTTGGTCACCATTCCCCCCCTGAGGCTTAGATGCTAACAGTTTAAATTTTCAAGATTGCCAAGTTCTAGCTCCCAAATGCCCAAATCACCCTTAAGTCCCATGGGGGTAGTCAAGGGCAGCCTCGCACACCCAGGATGGAGAAGGACAGGATGGGTGTCACCTTTTCCAGCTGAGCCCACATGTCCAGCACATCGTGGGCAAAATTGAAGTACTCAGGCACCGGCTGCCTCCCTAGGCTGATGGCTTCCCAGACGGCCAGAATCTTCTCGGGGACAGGAAGAGGTGGCAGCTGTGTGTGGACCCCGCAGAATTCCCGGAAGTTCCTCAGTGCCTGGAGGCCCAGGCCTCTCAGCCATAGCCTCATGTCGTCTGTGCGTCCGGCCTGTCACCAAAGAGAGGAGGGAAGCCACCATCCTGATCCTGGGCTTTGGAGCTGGAGACAAGCCTGTGCCAGTCCCGGGAGTGACCTCAGCTCCTGTCCCCTTGGAGAACACACTGGCGGCCTCTAGTGTTGGTTCTGCTAGTCACACTGCTCGTTGTTCTCCTCTGACCCTGAGACCCACACCTCTCCCCGCTTGCTGCCAGTGAGTGAGTCTCTGTGGGCCTGAGGTCATTACCGCCTCAAACTTCAGCCTTTCACAGGGAATTCCCCTCATATGATTTATTTCACTGATGCATTTAAAAAAACTTTCACAATACATTTAAAAGACTTGATACCTAACTACATATTTATGGGGTACAGTGTCCCATTTCAGTACATGCACACGATGTGTAATGACCAGATCAGGCAATTGGCATAGTCATCACCTCAAACTTTAATCATTTCTTTGTGTGGGGAATAGTCAGAGTCTCCCCTGCCAGCTGTTCCTTCTAATGTCTCTTGGCCAGTCCTGAACTGGCCTGACACAGCTGAGGTTCCCAGGCAGCACTGCCCAGAAGAAACAGAAGGCGAGTCAACAATTTTCTGGTACTTTTGGGGTAGGATGGAAGAAATAAAGACAGGTAGAAAGAGGACAAAGAAACTCAATTGTTTTTTGTCTCTCTTTTTAGCTTAAAACTCTGAGTCAGATTCTTGCTTAGCTTTGCATGCAGGAACGGTAATCATTTAGGAAAAGTTGGCAAAACAGGGTTTGTTAGCCCTGAATTTATCTAGTGTATTTCTTTCCCCTTCAAGACCCTGGACACCAAGATAAGAGGAGCTAAAGTAATTTTCAGGGTTTCCAGGGACACCCATTGCCAGCTGTCACAGCATCCGGGTCCAGACCCTGTAAGAGCGACACCTGATGTCCTCAGCCTGCAGTCATCTCCGCTTCCAGGCAGAGCGGAGCCTCGGAGACCACTCTGTGATGGGGTCAGCTCCCCCTGTGCAGGAGCAATTACCCCATGAGGGAGCCACGGCCCCCCCTCCTGGGCAAGGACAATTATCTCCTGTCCCTGAATTGTCCCTTACGCCACCTTGAATCAGGGTGAACCCCTTTCAGCTACTCAACTGGAGTGTTTTTCTTATTCTTCCTTACTTTCTAACTTGGCCCAATAAATCTGCTTTGTGCCTTGGACCTGTATTTCATGGGGTGAGCTGAGGGTCCCATTTCCTCTTTGGGGACCTCCTCAGAACTTGGGCAGGAATACTATTATGAAGAAAAGAAAGAAGAAACAAGCAATACTAATTATAATAATGCATCTTATTAAACGAATATGATCATTTCAACATGGAATGAGTATGAAAAGAAATTATTAAAGAGATAGATATATTCTGTACTAGGTCCTCAAAATCCAATGTGGATATCATACTCACAAGCACCACTCAGTTTGGATCAGCTGTATTTCGAGTGCTCAAGAGTCATAGGTGGGTGGTGAACCTGTACTACCCAGGGCTGTTTTGGTGTCTTGCTATTCAAAGTGTGGTCTTTGCACCAGCAGCAAGACCCAGAGCTTGTAACAAAGCCTTGGTTCCCACCTTTCCTTTGCGGAATTAGAATCTGCACATTAGCAGGGTCTCCAAAGCTGCCTCACACACAATAAAATTTGAGAAGCATTAGCTTAACTAGGGGCTGTGTCCTCAGTCAGGTCTCCCTGCCAAGTTCCTCTCAGTAATAATAAAAACAGAATATGGTAATGATACTCATCAGTAATAACAAGGTCACACCAAAAGAAAATCCCATCACAACCACAGTCTCTTAGAAGGCTTACCTACTCTCTACCACCCCTGCAGAAAGTGCTTATGAATATTATGTCATTAAATCCATGCGACAACTCTGTGCTGCGAATGCCATTTTCTCCATCTTACAAATAAAGAAAAGGAAGCTTAGTGAGCAAGAATGACTTCTGAGTCTCAACTTCTAGAAAAGTATAGGCCCCAACCTGGGCGTGGCCACCGACCCTGGGCCTGGGGCCTTGGAGACCCCTCCCCCTGGACCCCTCAGTCATGCATCATCTCTTCTAAACTCTGCTGCAATTCCTTCCTTCCTTCCTTCCTTCCTTCCTTCCTTCCTTCCTTCTTTTCTTCCCTTATTTTGTACCAGGAATTGAACCCAGGCTCTTCACACTGAACTACATCCCAGCCCTTTTTATTGTTCTTTTCTGAGACAGGGTCTTGCTGAGTTGTTAGTTCTGCTTGAACTTGTGATCCTTCTGCCTCAGCCTCCCAGAGTGCTGGCCCCCGATTTCCTGACAGCTGATCTGTTAGAACCCCCTACACTCAGGCCTGCTCTCAGTAGCTTCTCCAGGCTGTTTCATACCACACCCCTTCTTTTAATCAGGAGAGACCACCCAGGAGGCTGCCACTTACTTCTGAAGGACTTCCTGCCCAGTTACCTTGTTCCTGAGCCCAGGAAGTGGAAAAGGTGTTCTGCTTCTTTCAGCCTAGAAGGGCAGCCTGCTAGCCTGTAATTACTTCTTTCTTTAGGATTCAAATTGCAAAATCAGCCTCCCACAGGGAACTTTGACCCCACCACACCCAAGAGAGGGCAGAGTTCCGAGTCAGCAAGGACTCCAGGTCTTCAGCTTTCAACTGGCTGGGCTCCTTGCCAGGTTTGTCCCAGGGCTCACAGTGCCTGCCGGGGACACGCAGGGGGGGCCCTCTGAACTGGTTGGTGGATGATTTGGCAGCCCCTAAGAAATTTGGTCATTAGCTAATCTGAAAAGAGAACCTGGACTCTATTCTGTTTAAACAGAAAAGATACAACAGTGATGATAAATAAGTGAGATCTTGTTTGTCTTCTGCTCAGCACTCTCCTGTTCCTGGAAAGCACATAGTGGTGACCTGAGGTATGTGGACAGGAAGTGACTGCCAAGGTCACCAGGAATGTCCTTGAAGGATGATGGTGGCCCTGGCCCCACGGCTCTCTAAATTTACTAGCATTGCTACTAATTGTCTACTGTCTAAATAAAGCTGTTAAAAAGTAAGTAAAATGCCTCCTGCAGCTCCCGCGTTCTCATGGTAAGCCAAATTCCTGACAAAGCCTCCAGGCCCCTGTGTAGTTTCCTGCCATCTCTTCTGCTCTTTCCCCCATTTATCCTGCCCAGCTACCCTGGCCTCTTGTTCACACTCTGAAGTTCTGCCTCACAGTGTGCTGCAGAGACGCTGTGTGCTGCTGGGACACTGTGTCTCTGAGGACAGTGGCCAAAAATATCCCAACGTATCATGTTTGTCAGCCAGGGCCTCTAAGGACACTAGCGGACAATGTCAAGCTTCCAAAGTTTTAACACACACACACACACACACACACACACACGCACACACATGCACACACCCCTGAGCTCCAGGAAGGCATAGATTTTGGGTCTTGGGTGTTGTGCCCAGATCGCGAAGTCCCCAAAGACCACCAAGGAGCCGATTCCGATGCAAACACACGAGGGTCGTTTATTCAAGCTCGAGCAGGGACTCCCAACCGTCGCCGACGCAGCGGGTCAGGATTGAGAGCCCCAAATTTTAAATCAGCAGGGTTTTTATAGGGGTTAAGGTAAGGTTTGGGGATTTTCCACTTAGCAGTTACAGGATTGGTTGACATTTAGCAAGTATGATATGTACACTTTTAATTGGCCAGGCCCATTGGGCCAAGACCGCGAACGACCGGGGGGGTGGGGGCGGGGTGTGTGTGTGTGGGGGGGGGTTCGAGGGTCGATTGTCACGCACTGACGGTCAGCAGCACATCGACAGATTGTTCTATAGATAGTGGACCCGGAACGTTCATTTCCTGGGCAAACAGATGGTTGAGTAATTAATTTAGGAACTTTGCTTCGTTACAGATTGTGTCTTTGGTCCCAGAGCAAGCACATTTTAACCGTTAATTTGTGAGGACAGTAGAGACTAGGGGAATAGTGGATTTTAGCAAAATGGAGTCACTTTGGTCTCACATTTGGCACCACCATATCCCAGCACTTAGAGCAGTACCTGCTGCATTGCAAGAGCTCCATGTATATTTGTTGGGTTGATAAAAACAAAATACTTAATATTTATCCAGTATTTTTATTACCACATCCTGCTCTGAAACTTTCCATGTATAACAGGTGAAAGTTCATTTCTGATACTCTGGGTACAATGTGTGCATTTTTTTTTCTCCCCGGGATTAAATCAAACCAGTTGGGTGGCATTCCCAGTCTCCAGCACCTGTTTGAACTGCAGGTTTAGTCAGTCCTAAGAGCATTTTTCTTATCCCTAGAATTGAAACAGAGCCCCCTAGTGGAGGAGGAGAGGTAGGTGCCCCACCTAGGGGAAGCTCAGGAAGCAGCCGGCAACATTCCACAGGCTGTGCGTCCCTCACCGGTCAGGGGCCACTGCGGCGCTGACTCATTTCCTGGTCAGGTCAGTGTGGTCCGTTTCCACAAAGGCAGCTTCTCTAATCTCCACCAAGCTTGGCCCCGGGTTCTCTACTGGCCCTGGGTGACACCCTCATCTCTAACCATCTAATCTTCACTCTCAGGCAGGTGGGCTGCTCTGCTGTCCCTCGGGCAGGCTGAGCCCATTTCCCCCCCTCTGCCTAAGTATTGGAGACCCTAGGCCAGTGCAAGGCGCCCCTGCAACCTCTGACCATAAGAACAGTGACACTAAAATACAAATGGGCTTTTATTTATTCACGCAACAAGTGTTTATTGGTACCTCTTACTTGCTGGGCAAAGGAAATGACAGGTGATTTAGAAGGTGATTAATGCTATGAAGAAAAATAAAGGCTGCGAAGAGAATGAGGCATCCCCGCGTCCCTGAAAGGTGCATGGGGCTGATAGTTTAGACAAAGTGGTCAGGAAAAGGCCCCTGGGAAAGTGACAGGCAAGCAAAGACTTCAAGGAGCTTCAAGTGTGGAGCTGGAGTGTCCCTGGGTAAACAGCTTCCCGGTAGGGGAGACTGCAAGTGTAAAGGCCCTGGGGCAGGAGCATGATTGTTATATCTGAGGCCAGTGTGGCTGGAGCAGAGTGAGCCAAGAGCACGCAGGGCCTGACGTGTAGGTCAGTGGTAGGGCACTGGCTTAGTGCGTGTGAGGCCCTGGATTTGATCACTAGCACCGATATAAAAGAAAGAAAGAAAGAAACCAGCGAGAAGGCCAAGGTGCAGGTGGGGGAGGCATGCACGGGTGCTCTGTTGCTTGTCTTGTTTAACTTTCCCACACCCCTGAGTTGGACACCATTGTGTGCCACAGAAACACTCGGAAAGAGTGAGAAATATATATTCAGGGCCACACTGCTTAGGACAGAGTTAGGGTCTCCAACCCCGAGTCCAGGCCATGCCTGTTTCTGGCCTTCCATAAAGCTCCAGTCTCTGTGTGAGGGGAAGGCAGGCAGCTCTTCCCTGCTGGGGCTGCCGGCCAGAGCCCCTCTGACTCAACAATGGCCCATTCTTCCCTAGGGCCACCTGGGCCTCCGGAACTCCAGAACCCAGAACATTGCTGTGGGCTGGGGTGGCCTCAGTGTGCTCTGGAAGGAGCTTCCTTTCTGTCCCTGGACTTCTCTGGACGGTCCAGCTGCCAACCAGGCCTGCTCTGATCACTGGGGAGGCCAGAAGCCTACTTTCAGATCACGACTTCCCTCCCACAGGGCCAGCCCTGCGTGGCCCAGCAGCTCCGAGAGTCACCCAATTTCCTGCAGGTACGAGGATCAGTGACAATGGCCACTCTGACCCATGGGCCCCGTGCCAGCTGTCTTCCCTCTTCCCTCTGCCAAACGTCATACACTGAAGATGGCCACACGTTAGAATGAACCGGGGGCTTTAAAAAACGAGGCCTAAGCTCACCTGGGGTGGGTTTGTGCTCAAGTGCTAGTATTTTTGCCACACTCTCCGGGGAATTCTAGTGGGTTATCATAATTGAGAAGCTCTGAAATGGATCTTGGGGTCTGTTGTGAGAATTAAGTTAGTTCATTCATCCATCCATTCATTCAGCAAACGTGCTGAATTCTAAAATCAGGTCCATACCCTGCTCTAGGAAGAAGGTAAACAGCTCTGAACGATGGTATTGACATTTAAAAAGTTAAAAAAAGAAAACAAGGTGCACTCAGAAATAATAATGAAGCAGTGAAGCAGTACTGGTGACTTGGTAGGTTGCTGAAAGCAGAGGGATGAGAAATCCTTCTGATGGGCTGGTGTTTGGGATCTGAAGGACCAGGCAAAGCTCTGAGGTGGACTGGAGGTGTTGTAGGCAGAGGCCTCAGTCCCAAGGTGGAGAGAACAGGAGAGTGACTAAGGGAGGAGAGCAGAGAGGGTAAAGTCAGATGGGGTGAAAGTAAGGATCAGAGCCCGGGAACCTGAGAGGCCACAGGGTCAAGCTTTGGACCGTGTGTGACAGCACGCTGCTGGAATCTTTCAATAATCAGAGCCATAGTGTCTGACTCCTGCTTCAAATTGGACTCTGTGATCCCTGTGCGGGGGATGGAATGGGGGAAAGCAGAGCAGAGACACAGGGACCTGTGAGCAGGTCATGGCACTGTGTGCGCAAAAGACAGTGGTGTCTGGGACATGGGTCTTGGGGCAGTGCTGGGCGACAATGCGGTGCGTGCTGAGCACACCAGCTGGTGGGCAGCGGGGCACTCCATGCTGCCTGTTCCTATTAACAAGGCATCCATCGGGGGCTGCTTTCCTCCGATCTGGAATTTGTAGATCCGGGCAGTGTGCCTTTGTGGGGGACAGAGGAGATGCAGGGGACACTAGGCCAGAAAAGCAGGGAGATGCAGGGAGAACCAAAGTCCACGAGCAGAGAACAAAGGGTTGGCAGAGGGGAAGCTAAAGACACAGTGCCAGCCTGAATCAGAGAGAGGTCCAGAGTTTGAGGCAGATTGAGCCCGGGCTTGAGGAGTCTCAAGAAAAGAACAACAGGAGTGGAGGACAGAAGGACTTCCTCTCCCACCCTTGGAAACGCAAATCGATCACTTCTTTGCTTCCTTCAGTCAAATGCCCTCTTGGCCACCTTGTTAATAATGTTAACACTCCCCCTTCCGCATCACTTCAAGTCTTCCCTTATCTCTTTTTTCCCTCAGTGTGGATCGGCTTCTGATATACCATTCATTGTATCTGTTTATCTCATTGAGGATGTGTCCTATGACCCGAATGCACAAACGCCTGCCCATTGTTTTGACTTTTTGGGTCTCTAGCGCTTAACAGCATGTAATGTATGTAACATGTAACAAGCGTCAGAAATATTTGGTGGGTGTACAAATATTGATGAGTGAGTCGAAGGGAAGACTGGAGTGGCTGAAGTCCCCATGCAGGGCCTGCCTCCCAGCCACCGGCATCTGATTGTCATCCTTCTTTGCTATGTTTTTTTTTTTGGTACCAGGGATCGAACTCAGGACCTTGCACTTGCGAGGCAGGCGTCGGAACCATTGAGCTAAATCCCTGGCTCTGATTGTCATCCTTCTTGCCTGAGCCGGACAGCAGTGTTTCCCTTGTAGGTTCTGCAGCCACCTTAAGGTCACCAGCCAAGGCTCCTTTATCCTCCTGCAAGTGCCAAGAGAGGGTCTTAAAACCTTTAATTTCAAGATTTCTTCCCAGAAGACCTTTCCCAAATCTGACACCGTCCCGCCCAGCAGGATTCTGGGTACCATAGACACACAGAAGTGATGGTCAATGTCTGGTCCAGGAAGGTTCTGGCAGCCCTCACTGCCTTATATCTGCATAACTAAGAAAGGGTCATTCTAGTGACTTTCTGTACAATGAAAATTAACACCCTAGTACTTTGATGCCTCCGTGTAGGCAAAGAACTTTTAGATGACAATTCCCACTGCAAGTGAGTGACTCAAAGAACAAATAAGCAAACAAGAACATTAGTGCTAAAAACAAAAGTTCTGTCTAATAGTCATCATGCTACTGTAGCAGACCCAGGCAGGGCCGGTGAGGGGCAGGCTGCTCAGTAGATATGGGGACACTGGGGCTCATTAGGGATCAAGAGCCCTTTGACCGAGACAGATTTGGATCATACCCATTGCTCAACATTCCAGAAAACCAGGTGTCCACCTGGCTTTCACTCTTATCTTGACTCGCCTTTGTTGATTTCATTTGACCAACCACATGGCTCTCCAGCTGCAGAATTACCTGGACAAAGTTGAAGAGAGCTGACAATCAATGACAATTGATGGATCTCATTTGGATCCTGATTTTTAAAAAAACCTTAAATTTTATGAGGCAAGCAGAGTGATTTGCACACTGCTTGGGTAGCTGGTGATACAAGGCTGTAATGATAAGAGTATTATAGTTATGTGCTATTTTGAAGTAATCCACATCATTTAGGGATTTATAATGAAATATTTACAGGTGAATATATATCGCCGAAGACTGCCTTCAACATAGTCCAGGGCAGAGAGCGGATGAGAATATTAACGAAATGTTTGGCCACGACAGTAACTGAAGTTGAGGGGTGCGTGCCTTGGGAATGCACCATACCACTCTATCTTTGCGTTCAAAATGTCCCAAGTAAAAAGTTAAAATAGCAACAAGCCAGGTATGGTGGTGCATGCCTGTAATTCCAGCTCTCTGTGAGGCTAAGGCAGGAGGATCACAGGTTCAAAGCCAGCCTGGCCAACTTAGTGACTTAGTGCGACCCTGCCTCAAAATAAAAATTGAAAAAGGTTTGGGAATGTAGCTCAGGGCCAAGAGCCTGGGTTCAATCCCCAGTGCCACAAACAACAACAACAACAGCAGCAGGAACAACCACCAAGCAAAGAAGCAGCAAGACAACAAAAATCATCTGGGAAACTTCTCAAATATTTTGATTTTCAAGCCTCACTCTGAGCAATTCTGAATCAATTTGGTCTGGGGTGAGGTTGAGCATCAAATGTTAAGAGAGAATTAAGCATCCTACACTATGCATAGTCTTGAAATGTGCACTCAGAGGATGTTTATAGAGGCATTGTCAATGTCTGCAAGGGTTCATTCTAAACCTAACAGCTTGCTTGGCCATAGCGTTAAAGGAGAGATTTTTATTTTGCACTCAACATATTTTCACAGTGCATTCTGTGGTTATGACTTTCAAAAGAAAATATTTATTCTTGAGAATATTTCCAAAGCCACATGGGGTACATTGTAAGATAGTGAGCTTCCCATCACAGAGGCATTCAGGCCTGGTGCCTGGGAGCATGGGACACCGTCGGCAGAGGGGATCCTGGGAGCCTGTGCTGGGGGCCTGGTCCAGAGCCTCACCCTGGGACTCTGGGGTGAGACCCAGACTTCTCTGCAGAGTTTTTGCTAGTGGCTGGGAAGCCAGTGGGTTTGAGTGTCTGCTATTCCAAGGGGGTTCGGCTACGCTGGGGCTGAGGTTGTCTTGGCCAGGCTGCCGCTAAGCTGTGGGCATTTCTGGGGGTCAGTGCCCAGCCCATGGTCCCCAGGTGAAAGGTGGGGTGTGGAGAGCAACCCTGGGGTGGAGAAGGGCCCCCTGTGGTAATAAGGGCTCTGTCCCTCTCCCCCGCAGGACAGCCATGGAGCTGCTCTGGACGGCCATGCTGATGGTGGCCTCCTGGGTCCCTGCTGCCCACAGCTCACCGGAGCAGGATGCCACTGTCCCCAGCATCGACCTCTCCCAGCCCTTGCACGTTGTGGAGGAGAACAACCTGCTGGTGCTGACGCCCGCCGGCCTGGCACAGATGCTCAACGAGACGCGCTTCCTCATGGTGCTTTTCCGCGCGTGTCCCTCCTGGGTGCTGGTGACAGTGGGGCCAGGCCTGCTTCCTTGCTTCTGCGGCCTGAGGAGTTTCATACATTACTCAACACACGAGAACACGTGAGCAACTTAAAATGTACATTTACAGGTATCATATCATTCTCGATTTCCAGGTGAGAACACTGAGGTCCAAGGAAATAAGCAAGTCTCCAGGTGCCAGGGGCCACTTTCGTCTTGGGTTTGGACAAGGGGTGATAAAAAATATAGTGAAAAAAGATTTTTAAATTTATGAGAAAAGCTGCATCGCCGTTAATCCCCTCAGCTATTCCCCCCACTTCAAACACGCTTGTCCCACCGGCCCCGCCACTTTGGGAAGCAGCTCTGAGAAGTCCTTTCGAAGTGTCTTTACAGGTTGTGATAGAAAAGGCATGAGTGCTGCTGAGTGCCATGTGATAAACAGGCAGGCTTGGGAAAGCATCGCAGCGCCTCCCTATCCACCTTATTCACCGGCTCTAGCACCCTGAGCCGTCTAGCTCCTCCCCAAAGGCAAAATGAGCGTGAAAGGTAAACATTTTGAATAGATCCAGGACATCGAGGCAGCCATGACAGCACAAGCAGAGACGCTTACCAAAGAGGATTTCCAGAGCTGCTTCAGAAAGTGGTAAGAACGGTGGGATAAGTGTGTTCCAAGCGTGGGGGAGTTTCTTGAGGGGGACTAGTGACAATGTGTCTTTTACTCTAATAAATTTGTATTTTTTATCACATGTCACATGTGGCTCCTATGATATCCTATCGGGAAAAGCCAGGCTTTACCTTCAGGTATTTTACTGTTCTGGGCCCCAGTTTTCTGCTCCATAGAATGGGTATGGAGCATCATGACCAAGCTGGATTGTGGAGAAGACTCAGTGAAGTGTGTGACGTTCCCAGACCCCATCCTGAGAGCAACAAAGGCTGGCAGTCGGGCCCAAGCTCGTGGGCTGAAAGGCGCTCTAGTCCTTCACCCCTGGTATCTGGGCTTCATGCAGCCACCTTTGCACTTTTGCTCTGTGCATCAGCAGACATCTGGGGGCAAAGGCACCGAGGGGAGCAAGCACCTCAGGAAACGTTCAGTCCTCAGTCCTTGCAGCCCAGCACTGGGGCGCTGTTCCCCTCCCTCCTTTACAGCGGTGGATACAGGAGCTCAGAGAGGCCAACTGACTTGCCCACGGTCACACAACACAAGTGGGGGTCCCCCCCCCCGTGCCACTCCCCATACAGAACGGTTTGGGGGAGTGAAGAAAGCGGGTGTAGACACGGGGTCTGAATCCTGCCTTCAGAGCGACTCCTAGAAAGTGCCTGGCTCCGCGTCAGCCCCGAGGCCTGCTTCTGCAGGGCCCAGTCCTCAAGGTGAAGGGCAGGAGGGCAGCTGGGTTTCCCTTCTTGGTTTCAGTCCCCTCCCCAGCACCCCTCCACCCCAACTTCCCTGCTGCCCTCTGGCTGGGCTGATGGGCTGGGATCGAGCAGCCTCCTCTCTGCTTGAGCCTGCTAGTCACGACCCACGCAGGCGCCCCCTCATTTCCGGTCCCTCTGTGCGGGGAGTGAGGAAGGTCACGTCACAGGCTGTGACCGATCAGCCAGCCCAGGATGTTAGGTGGTGGCCTGGAGCGCTCTGAGCTCCTTTGCTGGCTGCTAAGTGGGGAAGGCGGTGCCTTTGTGCCACGCCTTGCGTTCGTTCCTGTGGGGATCAGGGGAGATCGTAAGGAGACGCTGGCTGCGCTTGACCTCGCCCTCGCCGGCATCTTCATCTGGAGCAGTGAGCCACTCCTTCCTCGGGATCGGCTGTGGTCTCGGTACTGGGCTCGAATACACAGCAGCTAGCCCTGAGGGGACACCCAATAGCTGTTATCTTTGTGTTTTATTTTATTTTACTTTTTTTTTGTAGCAGTGAGGATTGAACCCAGGGCCTTCACACTGAGCAACATCCTCAGCCCTTTTCTTAAGTTTTGAGACAGGATCTTGCTCAGAAGCTATGTTGCCTGGGCTCGGTTCAAATTTGCGATCCTCCTGTCTCAGCCTCCCAGAGTGCTGGGATTACAGGGTATCACTGTGTTCTTATTCACCCCACTGCTATACAGCTCCATACAGTGCCAGGCTGTGGCACTTTGTAGGGGCCCTGGAGAAAAGGGCCCTGTCTTCCAGGACTTTACAGTTGAAGCCGGGAATGTCACCAGGCACGAGAAACTCTATAAAACATGATCTGTGCCACTGCACAGTCTGAACTCCACACCTGGTGACCCAAGGCGGAGAAGCTGTGGCTTAGGCTGGTCCTTAGAGCTGAGTCTCCAAACTGCATGGCTGAACAGCCTTCCTGGTGTGGCCCTGGCTCCTCATGCTGTGCCCAGGATGCTCTGGCCAGAGCAAGTGCTTCTGGGAGCTTTCGAGTTGTCTGGAAGTGAGAGAAACCCTGACTTCCCCCCAGGACGAGCAGTCGTTAGCCAGAGCAGTGGAGGCAGCAGAAGTCTCCCGAATTCATGGTTGTTGACTTCCATATTTATCAAAGACACCATGCCGAGCACTGCTAAATCCTCTCTTAGCCCCACTGCTCCACACACCTTGGTCCCTAAGTGCCATCCGATCTGCTGTCCGGAGCACTGCAAAGCTTTGCCGAAGAGATCCAGCCTGCAAACAGGGCAGGCATTTCCACCTTGCTGGAAGATGCTTCCATCCGGCCCTACACATCCCGCATCCACATCAGGACTTGGGCCAACTATTTCATGGTTCCTCCCACCAGGAAAAGTTGCAAACCCTGCAGCCCCACTCTGCTTGTTGTGGGACTGTAAGATAATGGTCAAATAGGTCAAAAACCCAAACTACCTTCTCTCTCTCTCTCTCTCTCTCTCTCTCTCTCTCTCTCTCGCTGTGCTCCCAATCTCTGGATCCTGAACCCCCTAGTGAAGGGTGTAGGGCCACGTGCTTCATATCACACAATAAGCACCTCCACACGTTTACTTTGTCAAAAGTGATGCAGCAGGTGGTCAAGGCTGGGGACGCTGCCCTATGCCCATGAGGACACAAGGGTCTGCCAGTGGCGATCTTGTTTTAATCAGGGTAGCAGGGCAAATTCATGATTCTTTGGGACTGTGACTTTGAGACTGACACTGAACAAGAGCCTGCGGGAAGAGCCAACTGATGTTTCTTTCTTTAACTGGGCTTGATAACAACCAATTTGAATACCTTAAAGTATGTTAATACTTCTCACCAGTGGGTATTTCAAAGCAGCCAACTCTACCCCAGCAGTGATTGTGTTATCGAAAAAGAGACACTCAATTAAACTCATTACAGTTGACTCTTTGATTCCTGCCAGTACACAATTTAATTCCAAATGAGTTCTCAAAACCTGGCAGGCCTTCTAAAATGACCTTTGGAAAAATTAATCACTTGCTATTGTAAAAGCTTCTCTCCCAGGGTAAATGGGCTCTTTACAAGGGGGAGGCGGCTGACGTGGCCCCCAGGGATTCCTCAGTAGCTCTCAACTCCTCAACCGCTCCCCACCTTCTTACCTCTCCAAGGACTCTATGTCCAAGAGCCAATGATCGGAGGGGCCTCTCCCATCTCAAATGCCTCCTGTGTCCAAAACAGACCACAGAATCTTGGACTGGGTCCTATCCACCCATTCCTTCTCAGATTCCGCCTTCCAATACCAAAGTCGGAAACATCAAGGCTCTTCTTGATTCCCCTCTATTCTTGAATCGAGTTGGTCACCGCCACCTGCAGATGCCATCTTCTAAAGCCTCTGCACTGTCCCATTCTTCCACCCCTCTCCTGATGTCTCAGTTCCACCCTCCCCGTTCCCCACCCAAACCACCACAGCAGATGGTCTCCCAGCCTCTCCCAATGCTGTGTGCACAATGCACTGTTTTTTTCCTAAAGTGCAAATTGTACGCTGATTAAAATCCTCCATGGTTTTCTAAAATTCCAAATTTCTTAAGATGAATACGACTTCTCTATTTGATCCAGCCCAGATCGACTTCTCACTTCCCCTGAATGCTCTGCTCTTCACCCTGAGCTATTTGTGCTTGCCAGAGGGAGTCACCCTGGCTCGGTGGTCCTGCAGTTCCCTCCGCCTGCAGTGCCCTTCCTGAGCCTCTGAGTCGAGAAGGGAAGAAAAAGCCACCCTTACTGGGGAGTGCTAAGATTTATTAGGAGCTGTCTCTGGGATCATTTACTAGTTGTCCCTTAGGCACGGGTGGCAAGAGTTTGTCCTGCAAAAACATTAGATAATGATAGGGTTCATGATGGAGATGGGAATCTGGATGAAGATCAGGTGGAGATGGTGATGGTGATGGCAGTGGTCAGGATGCACTGATGATGGTTATGGCGATGACAGTACTAATGACAACATCGGCGGCAGTGGTGGTAACGATCACTTATGAAGCACCTGAGCTCCAGGTGTCCACAAACATGCCCAAGACCTGAGGGAGGTTGGGCTAATGGGAATCTCAGTAAAGGGGGCCCTGTCCATTCACAACCTACTGGGCACTGTTCCGCCCAAGTGTCTTCTTAGGGTTAGGGCTAGGGTTAGGGTTAGGGTAGACCAAACTCAGATTTCCAGTTGGCCAGGGCAAGAAGTAGGCACCAGGACCCAAGGGGTGTATGCATACCTTTTTCCTTTAAGAACTTGGAATTTAAAATTGCAGAGCTTCAGAGGTAAGACCAGTTGTCACACTTTAAAAAGACAGAAGCCAGAAAACAGGACCCTAAATCGTAGAATGGGTTTGTTTTTGCAATTTCTCTCTGCTCTCGTGGGAACCACCTGAAACAGGGGAGACAGGAAGCACATCCCCATTCCCTTCTCCGTGAAAAGGGACATTTTCAGTCTGGATGACCAGTTTGGTCAGTTGGAGTCATCAGCCTTGCATTTAAATTTCATCCTAACCACTTAGCAGCAGTAAAACCGCTGGGTTCCCATTTCCTTGTCTGTAATGTTTTTCGCCTTTAATAATAACTAACTCACAGATCATACTGAAGATTAACAAGACAACAAATGCGTGGTATACTTAGCAGAGAGATGGGTATAGCAAGTGAAAATAAATGGTTTTTTTGTAGTACTGGGGATTGAGTTCAAGGTCTTTGCACTGAGCTACATCCCAGCCCCCTTTTATGATTATCATTATTTTTAATTCTCGATAGGATCTTGCCAAGTTGCCCAGGATAGGCTCAAACCTGCGATAACCCTGCCGCAGCCGCCCAGAACGCTGGCATTGCAGGCACGCTCTGCCACGTCCAGCTAAACATCTGCTGTAACGATTTTTGTTATCATTGCTGTCACCACAATCATCGCCATCTCTTCTTTTCTAGTTCCTCAGGTCAAAACCTGAGCGTCATCCTTGACACTTCTCTTCCACTGGTACTCCACAATCCATTTACCAACAAACCCAGTCAACGACTCTTCTAAACACTTCCCTGGGCTTGGGTCCCTTCTCACCCCCTTGCATTGCTGCTACCCTGGCTCCAGTCACCACCATGTATCACCTGGGTTATTACAGTAGTGTCCAGTCGGTCTCCCTGTGCCCACTAGCTTCTCCCCTGGGCCTAATCTTCATGTAGCATTGAGATAAATCCATCCCCTTCTGTCTTTATGAAAATTCTCTTCTCAACAAGGCCTTCATCAGTTTTTCCACTTAAACGCAACCATTTTCCTGACGCTCCCGATCTCCAACTCTCACCTTACCCAGCACATATTTTTCTTTCTCTATTTTCGGTCTTTTCCAGTGAGAGCAGGGATTTTTACGTGGTTGTTCACAGTAACAGCCTCGGTGCCTGGGCCATGGCGTATGATAAAAAGATTTGTTGAATGAGTGAAATGAACAGATTCCCATGACCGTTATTGTCAGGTACCATCTTTTTAGCTTTCAGACAACAGCACCCCTGTTGTCCTGGTCTTTTTGACCTCCATTTCAGACCCCCAGGGGCATGGGACTTGGAGTGGAATCTCCAGACACCCACCTTTCGGTCAGCCATGCCGAGGGGATCTCTCATTCTGAGCTCCTGCCCTTAGATGTGATGTCACTCAGCAACTTTGAGCCCAAATTTCCAGAAATCCACAGCAAAGACCGCAGTCTAGCAGCTGGCGACAGGCCAGCACCTGCCAGTGGTGATGGATAGAAGGTATCAAAGGCGACGATGGTGATGAAGCAGGCGGCGGTGAGGCATTGATCTAGGAGGAGGCAGAAAGTCTCCCCTCCATCAATTGGGAGGTTAATGAAAACAATCATTCACTCTGGGTTCCGAGTTCTGTACAAGTGCAGGTTGCTGGCTGGCAGCTGGAGGTGCTGGTTGGTCAGTTGGAGCATGAATCTAGGAGTCAGGTGGCCTTGGAGTTGAACCTCAAATTAACACGTATTGGAGTAAGACCTCTGGGCTTCCCTTTCCTTGTCTGTAACATTGTGGGCCCAGCTTTGTTGTGGGCTGCGCTCCACCAAAGACTTGTGGACTTTCCCCCAGTCAGGAGGTGATCTGCACTTTCTCCAAGTGCTCTAGATGAACAGGGTTTTGAAAATGATCCAGTGGTCTGCACTGGGGCAGCGAGGGGGTCTGCAGTCACACAACCTTACTGGAAGGAAGAAGAGCAAACAGAGGAGCCTTTCAGTCCCCTCCGTTTAAGCCACAAAGGTTTATTCCCCATGCCAGTTCCTGGTGGCTGTTTCCCTGTATCTCTGTCTCCCTGCCTAACAATCCGAGTGGCCAAGGAATCAGAGCATCAGATCCCTTAGGGAGCAGGTCAAATTGCTTCGATGACCCCTCCTGCAAGGGGGCGGACTCAGGAAGGTAGAGGAGCATCGCAGTATGCTCCACCCCCACCTTCCACGCCTGGCCCTCTTTACCCCGAGAGCTCCCTGCCCGTTAGATGCAGCCACAGGCAACTGGGGGGACCCAGTTCACAGGGCTAGTTCCAGGACATTCCACCAGATGGCGCGCGGGAGAGCCTTCTGTCTTCACCTTTCTGATTCTCTGTTCTCTCCCTTCCCTTAATTTCTTTTTTTCTTTCCTTATTTTCTAACCACAGAAATTTTACATCAGTAACAGCAGTAGTGACTATAATGTATTGTGTGCTCGCCGTCTGCCAGGCATTAAGCTAAGTGTCTCGCAGGCCTCTTGGGGCTCAGAGAACCAGAACTCTGCAGCTAGCCTGAGGGGGTTCATGTCTAGGCTTTCTCACCGCCAAACGGCTTTGGACAAGCAGATAATTTTGCAGTGCCTCAGTTTCCCCATCTATAAAATTGAGAAAGTAATAATAACACTTGCCCATAGGGTTATTGGGAAGAATAAATAACGTAATGCATGCAAAACTCTAGAAAAACAATAAGCACTATTAACCGATTGTTACATAAATCTCATCTGACTCTGACAAGTGTATGAAGGAGCCGTCATGATGCTCCCCATTTTATAAGAAAGAAAAACGAAGCCCAGAGAGATGTAGGGGCCTGAAGTTGGATTGTTCCCAGTGTTACTGAGCTGGAAGAGCCACAACCCACATCTCCCAAAATGTCCTAGATCATGACCTGTCACGTTTCTGAAACTTACTCAGCAGCAGGTACAGGAAAAGCCAGGCGCTCCGGGCCTGGGGGTGGGGGCGGGGAAGAAGCCTGGACCAGCCTTCCCTCCCTCTCCCTCTTTCAGACAACTCGTCGTCCAAGCAATCCAGGAACCTGGCGGAAGAGCTGGGCAAAGCCGTGAGGATGCTGGGCAAGGGCAAGAATGGGATTGCCTTCGGCAAAGTGGACATCACCGTGGAGAAGGAGCTTAAGCAGGAGTTTTACATCACGAAGGCTCCGGACCTGAAGCTGTTTTTTGAGGGCGACAGGTCAAAGCCCATCAGCTGCAAAGGTAATGGTGCTCAGTGGCACGTCACTGTGGTGCTTATACAAAGCCTGCACGGTGGCCACAGGCTGGAGGAGGGAGGCGCTCAGTGACAGGGCCTCTCAGGGACCCAGGCTCTTTCCAGCCCCACCTCAGGCTTCCTTGGTGATCGGGACCTGGGAATGGCAGATATTACTCTTTTTTTCTTTGGCACCGGGGATCAAACTCGGGTCCTTGCGCTTGTGCAGCAAGTGGCAAAATCACTGAGCTAAATCCCCGGCCCAGATATTACTTTTTTTGTTAATTAACTTTACTGGTACATTTTAGGTATACAATATAATGACATTCATCATTGCAGATTTGTACCTTTACATAATCTATTTTGGTTCTTATTTTTTCCCTTTCCCACCCCTCCCTTCAACCCCTCCACCCCTCCCTATTTACAAAGACTTTGTTTCCATAATTTTCATTTTCTCATATTAATTCCATTCCCTTCTTTCCTTTCCCCTCCCCCTCCCACTTCCCCTTCCCCTTTGCCCCTTTTCTTCCTATTTCAGATTATTTATTATACATTTTGATCCTTATTTATATTTTCAGTTTCTCACACCAGAGAAAACCATCCGGTATTTATGCATGTGTGTCCTATTTATTTCACTTAAGAGTATCAGCTCAATGTGCATCTATTTAGCTATAAATGCTTCTAATTTCTCATTCTTTATGGGTCAGTACTACTCCATTTTATTAAAACACCCACATTTTCTTTAACAAGTCTCCAGTTGATGGGCAATTAGGCTGTTTCCATGTTTTAGCTCTCATGAATTGTGCTGCTATGAACATGGGTGCACATATATCACTGTGGTATGATTCTTTTAATTCTTTGGGGAAGATCCCCAGCAGGGGAATAGCTGGATCAAATGGGACTTCCAGTCCTAGTTCTTTGAGGTATCTCCGTACTGATTTCCACAGTGCTTGCACCAGTCTACACTCCCACCAGCAGTGGAGCAGGGTTCCTCTTTCCCCACAGCCCCACCAGCATTTGTTATTGGTTGATTTCTTGATAGCAGCCATTCTTTCTCAGGTAAGGTGGAATCTCGGTGTTGTTTTCATCTGCATCTCTTGAATGACAAGTGATGTTGAACATTTTTTCATGTTTATTTGCTATTTCTACTTCTTTGTCTGAGAAATGTCTGTTCATTTCAGATGCCCATTTTTGGACTGGGTCTTTAAATTTGGGAGATCTGATTTTTTAAAATTCTTTACACATTCTAGATAGAACTTTGTATGAGGAACAGCTGGTAATTTTCCCAGATTGTGGGTTGCCTCTTCATGCTATTGGTGGTTTCTCTTGCTGTGCAGAAGCTTTTTAATAGGAAGAGATCCCACTTGTTTGATTCTTTGTGCTGGTTCATGTGCAACCGAGGTTTTGTTCATGAAATCTTTTCCTACACCAGTGTCTTCAAGAGTTCTACCTAACCTCTCTTGCAGCCAGTTTACCATTTCTGTTTTAATATTTAGATCTTTAGTCCATTTAGATTTTAGTTTAGTGCATGGTGAGAGATATAGGTCTAGTTTTAATCTTTGACAAGCTGAAATCCGATTTTTCCAGCACCATTTATTAAAGAAGCTATCTTTCCTGCAGTGAGGGTGTTTGGCTCCTTTGTCAAAGATGAGGTGGCTGAATGTATCTGAGATGTTTCTGTGTTTTCTAGCCAGTTCCACTGATCCTTGGGTCTGTTTCTTTGGCAGTACCATGCTGTTTTTATCACAGTAGCTTTGTAGTATAGTTTCAAGTTGGGGCTTGTGATACGCCCTACCTTCTCTTTGCAGCCTAGAATTGCTTTTGCTATTCTAGGTCTCTTCTTCTTCCAAATCAATTTTTGGATTGTTTTCTCAAGGTCTGTGGAGAATGCTATTGGAATTTCAATTGGGATTGCACTGAATCTATGTAGCAGTTTTGGAAGTATGGCCATTTTCACTATACTGGTTGTTTCCACCCAGGAGCAAGGGATGTCTGTCCATTTTCTGATATTTTCTTCAATCTCTCTTTTCAGAGTCCTATACTCTTCAGAGAAGAGGTCTTTGATTTCTTTCCTTAGGTTGATTCATAGCTATTTCACTTTTTTGAATGCTATTGTGAAGGGAGTTGTTTCTTCAGTTCCTTTTTCAGTGAGTTTGTTGTTCACATACAGGAAAGCTATTGATTTTTGTGTGTTGATCTTGTATTCAGATACTCAACTAAATTTGGTTACTAAGTCTAGAAGACTTTTGGTGAAGTTCTTAGGATCTTCTACACAGGGTATCATGTTGTCTGCAAATAATGACAATTTGACTTCTTCATTTCCTATCTTTATTCCTTTTATTTCTTTCTCTTGCCTAATTGCTGTGGCTAATGTTTCCAAAATTATATTGAACAGGAGTGGTGATGGTAGCCATCCTTGTCTTGTTCCTGATTTTAGTGGAAAGGATTTCAGTTTTTGACCATTTAGTATGTTATTGGCTGTTGGTTTTTCATAGATGGCTTTTAATGGGTTGAGGTAGGGACCGTGTATTCCAATTTTTTGTAGGTTTTATTTTATCGTGAATGTGTGTTGGACTTTATAGGATCCTTTTTCTGCATCTATTGAGATGATCATATGATTTTTGTCCTTGGCTCTCTTAATATAGTGTATTATATTTATTGATTTGTGTATGTTGAACCATCCCTGCATCTCTGGGAGGAATTCAGCTTGGTCAGGGTGTATGATTTTCTTGATGATCTTCTGAATTCTGTTTGCCAGTATCTTATTAAGGATTTTTGCATCTCTGTTCATTAGTGAGATTGGCCTATAGTTCTCTTTTTTGGTTTTTGGGTCTTTCTCTGCTTTGGGGATCAAGGTGATGCTTGCCTCCAGGAATGAATTTGGGAGGATTGTTTCCCTTTCAATTTCATTGAAGAGTTTAAA